CATGACCGATGTAGATGAGAGTTGAAGAACGATAGACGAAGCTCGCCTCTCAATTGTAGATAAAAAGCTATGTCCTATGTTATCAATGCATGACCACGAGCTCCTCTGCTTGACTCATGGTCTCATTCCAATACTTTGAACGACTGCAAGCTATGAATGGCTCTCTCATATGTCCACATAGTGATAGCACTGGCAGGAGCAGCTTTGAACAAGCCAACAGTCAGTCCTCTGTAGAGAGATCGCACACCTTCTTTGGCAACAATTGAGGCCATGGTGCGGATGACACCTGTTTCATAGACGGGTATGTTCTTGTGCACATATTTTGCTCTTGTGGGACCTTGTACTTGCAGCCTCTTTCTGACAGTGTCGAGTGGGAAGACAGCCGTCTTGGACATCATGCTGGCCAAGACACCAGCGATAGCGTCTGAAGAACCAAGAGAGTCCATAGGGATGGAGACGTTGGCCAGGGCGGGCTTCAATGACTCGTAGAGGGCAAAGAAGAGACCCATGTATGGCACAATCTGGCCGATACCTGCACCGAGGCCGCGAAAGAAGCCTGTGGGACCTTCGACCTTTGCGATGTCACGAATCGACGACAGAAGAGACTTGTAAACGCGATCGTTTCCTTGGGCAGCAAAGCGTGTGCGAAGAAGGTCGAGAGGGTAGGTGGCTGTAGTGGCAGCTGTGCCGGCGACAGCTCCAGCGACAAAGCTTACAGCAGTTCCAGGCAGCTTGTGATTAGGCCAGAGTTCATCGATGGCTTGGGTAGCGGAGCGGTAAGCCAGGAACTGTATGCCTCCATATGCCAGATACATGCCCTCTGCGGGCACGTTTCCCTTCCATAGTCCAGTCAAGCCTTCTTCGCGAAGGATGGTTCTGAGGGTCAAGAAGGTGCCTTTGTAGACAGGCCCCTTGTGTGCATGGCGAGCGTATGATAGCGGATCAGAGAGTGAGTGACTCTGCAACTGCAGGCGGATCTTGACGACGTCCAGTGGAGCTATGCAGAATCTGGCGCAAAGTGTTTTGTCAACGACTGCGTGGAAAGCAAGAAGGCGTGAGGTTCGAGCGCATACCTAGAAACAAGACCGGCTATGGCACCAGCGGCGACAACCTGCATACGAGAGCCCTCATCTCGGAGCTGCTCGACCTTATTCTCAGACATGCATCTGTCGATTCGGAGGGAAGGGTAGGCTGCTGGACGCCGAGTCTGGAGAGCCGAGGAAGAAAGAGCGAACAAAGCTTGGACGCCGTGATGATGACCGGTCGTTCTTGCCTCGCCCAGGTCTCTTCTTCGACACTCTCTTCCGAGTCCTGCTCGCACTACCAAAAGCAATGAGTGCAGCTGTGCGACCAACGGCTGCCATACTGCGCAGGACCCGCCATGTACCCATCACACAATGTATCGCTCGACGATGGCAGACTTCTGGTGGACAGCCGGCAACCTACGACGAGATGCTCGATCTTATGGAGGCCGAGTATCCTGATCCCAACAAGCGACAGCCCAGACCCGCTCCCATAATAGAGCGCTCGGAACGCGACCGGCTTGCTCAACGATATGCGCACCAACAGCACGAACCAGTACCCACTCAAGAACAGCACAACGATCCCGTCCCTTATTCAGGACCCAGCACTACTTACCAACCCATTACTGCCGCTGATCCAGCCCCCGATCCAGCCTCGAGCTATACTCCGGCACCGAGAACGTTTGGCAGGTACGATGCTCCGGCGCCGAGAACGTCTGACAGCTATGATGCTCGACCAGAGCCCAGATACCAATCCGCCAAAAGTGCACCACCCAGGCCCGCGAGAATGCCTGCCCAGGACGAATACAAACCTCGACGTGTGCCTCTCCCAGTGTATAAGCCTTCGTCCGACCAAGTCACCGATCACCACGCGCCGGAGAAGTCCACCAGACGCACACCGCAGCCAATTCGGGAAGAGCCAGAGCATGCACAAGCACCAGAAACGCTGGATCCTTTTGGCTCTCTAGACACTATCGAAGCTCTAGAATTCTCGCCAAACCCTCTACCCGAACTTGCTTTGGAGACCCTGTCGACTCATGTATCCAGACCCGATTCGAATACAGCAGATACGAAAGACCAGAAGCCTGTCCCAATAAGGTTGATGAAATCTCGCGAGTCGCCAACTCCTCCACCTAAACCTACTTTGGAACCATCGCCAATTACGGCAGCCGAGCCCAGTCGGAGCACACCAGAAACAAAAGACCAGGGTCATGCCCCAACAAGATCGACCAAGTCTCGTAAGCCGCAGACTCCTGTTGATACCACTGCAGTCAAGAAACCTTCTGTCAAAACAGCAAAGAAAAACATGGCTCAAACTGATTCGCCCGCAGAAGATGCAGGAGAAGACGCTTCCGTAGGAGCCTCTACGAAGTCGTCGGACACCATGCGCATGAACCCATTGGAAACTATCAAAATCGATAACCCCGCCAACAGAGGTGTAAGACAAACATTCGACAACGTCTTTCTTCGTGATTCTTGCACCTGCGCTCAGTGTGTAGACACATCGACGCGCCAGAAGCGCTTTGATTCTGCCGATATACCTTCGAACATCAGAATCAGGCATATGACGTCTGACGCAAGCAACGGCACCATCACACTTACCTGGAAGCACGACATCCCTGGCTTTGGTCCAGATCACACGACGGTCCTGCCCTATAAATGGCTCAAGCAGGCGCCACACTCACCTGTGACCCACACCTATCAGGACGGGAAACTAGCTTGGAATAACAAGCAGATCTCGAAAAGGGTCAAGACCTTTGCCTACAACGATTACATGTCGGACGACAGGGTACTCTTCGATCTCTTACTACAACTAAAAGTGTTGGGTCTCGTGTTCATCAAGAATCTTCCCGAAACGGAGTCATCGATCATCCAGACAGCCAATCGCATTGGGCCATTGAAAAACACCTTCTATGGCGAGACGTGGGATGTGCGAAGCGTCTCGAACGCGAAGAATGTTGCTTATACTGATGTACACCTCGGCTTCCACATGGACCTTCTCTACATGCAGCAGCCTCCCAGACTGCAACTCCTCCACTGCCTCCGTGCATCTGAACATGGCGGTGCTTCGTTGTTCAGTGACTCGTACCGAGCTATGCAGCAGCTTTATGATTTGGATCAGGCTGCATTCCAGGCTCTCGTGGACATACCAGTCAATTTTCATTACGACAACGACAACCACCACTACTTCCGTAGTCGGCGTACCTTCCAATTGCAAGAGGGTACAACCAAGATTCCCCAAGGCTCGGACAAGGTCTGGACATATATGGAGGCGGTCAACTGGGCACCACCATTCCAAGCGCCCTTCAACCATACCGAGGGTGATATTGCACTGGCCAGAAGCATGCGAGCATGGCATGGAGCGGCACAAACGTTCCGAGACTTGACAGAACTCGAGACGGCAGTGTACAAACGACAAATGGAACCCGGTGAGTGTGTGATCTTTGACAACCGTCGTATCTTGCACGCCAGAACAGCATTTGCTGGCGGTGAGAGATGGCTGAGAGGTGCTTACCTGGACGATGATCCGTATCTGAGCAAGATGCGAGTGTTGGAAAAGAACCCCAAGCACGCGATGAGCGTACAAGCTCCGGCCAAAAGAAAGCCGAGTGTGTAATTGGGCATTTCGAAAACTCCACCGAAGTCGACATATTGTAAATGTACATAGTTCCGCTCAATTCAACGTTTCGTTGAGATCTAGAGTACCGATCTGGCATTATCAATATGTTATGCTGACACATTTGAGCCGGTAAGTTTGCCCTCGTAGAAACCACACAATTCTCGACCTGTTCAGCTAGACTCGAACAACCTCACGGTGCAGAACTTGGCGAGGACGACAGAATCACATCGAATTTCCTTTTGCTCAGCAAAGAATCCAATTCGTTGAACACCGACGAAGATCGAAGATCTTGGAGGATGACAATTTATAGACAGGGTGGCCCAGACAGCATAGATAGATCTTAGCGCCAAGCCCGATTCTTATCGATAAGGTAAAACGCCGAGCAGCGAGACTTTCTCAAAAGTTTGCCTTTGCAAGCAGCGGCGCAGAACTCATACATTGCATCCGACATAACACACGAACAAATCGCAATCATGATGTTGAGACAAATGTGCGCATTCTCTTGCCCTGGCAATTTCTATCTGTAGTAGTCAAGGATAGTCTGCTGACTTGTCTCCAAACAGCAAACCCAAGAACGCCCGCAGCAAGCGCGCCCTCGACAAGAAAGCACCCCAGTTGCACGAAAACCCCAAAATGACCCTCTTCCTCCGCTACACCTCATGCTCGGAAATCGTCCAACTCTGCATGGGAGACCTGCATTCCCTCAAACGCCCTCTGGCCCAAAAATTCACAAAGAAGAACGACATCCACCCCTTCGAAGACCCTTCCTCGCTAGAGTTTTTCGCCGAGAAGAATGATTGCAGTTTGATGGTGTTTGGCTCGCATTCGAAGAAACGCCCGCATACGGTGACATTCGTCCGGTTCTTCGACCACAAAGTGTTGGAGATGCTGGAATTGCACGTTGATGCGGATACCTTCAGGACGATTTCGCAATTCAAGAGTGACAAGGCTAGAGTGGGACTCAAGCCTCTGGTATCATTTTCGGGCACTGCATTCGATTCTCCCGTTGCCAACACATACACCATGGCCAAGTCTTTGCTGCTCGACTTTTTCAAGGGCGAGGATACGAATAATGTGGATGTGGAGGGTTTGCAGTACATGGTGCACATTTCCGTGCCTGAAGAGGAGGATGCACAGCCAGCACCAAAGATTTGTCTCAGGACTTATATGATCAGCACCAAAAAGTCTGGACAGAGTTTGCCGAGGGTGGAGGTTGAGGAGATGGGACCCAGAGTTGATTTCCGGGTTGGTAGGGTCAAGGAGGCCGATGTGGATATGATGAAGGCAGCCATGAAGAAGCCCAAGGGACTCGAGGTAAGTGATTTCCTACCTCTACCATCACTGATCACTGGTGTGATGCAGCAAGTCACTGACAATCAAACAACAGGCAAAGAGCAAGAAGAACATCGAAACCGACATCATCGGCGACAAGGTCGGCCGCATCCATCTCGGCAAGCAGGACCTCAACGACATGCAAACGAGAAAGATGAAGGGTCTCAAGCGCAACAGAGACGACGACGACACCGAAGGTGGCCCCGTGGTTTCCGACGACGAAGGCGAAGATGTCGAGACCGATGGTGGTGTTGAGATCAAGAAGATTCGTGTTTAAGGTCATACACGGGCGTGGAATGCGTTATGGCTTGAATCTTTTCTGATCTTGTGATGGAATGGTCAAAACATAAGTGGATGCGAGAAGAGAAAAAAGTACTTGTCGTGTTCTTTTTGCAGAAAGCGTGGAGTTCAGGGTCATCAATCAAATGCTTTTTACTATACCAAAAAACAATGATACAAAAGCTTGCAAGATCACGTTCGTGGCGGCGTCGGTACGAGGTGTGTTGTTTCTTTCAATGTTTGTCTTGGAAGTTGCTCCTTTGATCCATATTCTATAAGCTCCTCTTTCGCTTGCCTTTCCTTTATATTTCGAAACACAACACAACGCCGATTCCTGTATCCGTCCTTCCCTGCTATGCTTCTCTTTTTATCTTTCTCCTTCCTCACCCTCTCGTCATCCAATCTACGCAGCAACAACCTCCTCAACAGTACCCGTCTTCTCAATAGCCTCCGCCGGCTTGGCGTCAACATCAGGGTTATTCTGCACCATACGCTGCAACTGGTCAGCAGTTTGCCTGAGACGCAACTCAACAAGATCAAGTCTGTTTTCTTCGTTCATCTTTGCAGGGGATTCGAGTATGCTTGATGAAAGCATTGAATCGATGGGAGGGGTTGAAGTGTTTTCTTCTGACGCGATGAGGGGACTCTGTGTGTTTTCTGCGGTGGTTTCGAGGGATTTCAGAGCGGAAAGTTGGGCAGGGGAGAGGGATTTGAAGTAAGTGGCCATGGCTGTGCATACCAGGAGGTTGCGGAGGAGGATCATGATTGTGACTTTGCCGACCGCGGGGACGTAGATGGAGGCGTGTTCTTTGACTTGTGGTGTGAAGTTCTGTTGGTGTTAGGGGGTGGTTTGTCAGTCTTTGCTTGTTGCTTTTCTTTCGTGTCGTTGTTCTGCAGAGGTGGTTGGACTCACCTTTTCGCTTGAAAAGTTGATGCACACGGCACCGTCTCTGATCTTGTCGACGGGGACCTTGAACTTGTCGCCGGGGACACCGCTGATGACGACGTCGCTGATGGCGAGACAGTCGTCCATTGTCATGTCGGGCTTCTCTTCAACGACGTGTTGCTGGTTGCGCAGACCCTGGCCTCTGCTGAATCTCTGCACGCCAGTAACGTCGACCGAGTAGACCTCAGCACCATCGTTTGCCAACAAAGCAGCCAAAGGTCTTCCAACAACCTCACTCCTGTTGATGACCGTGATCCTTCTTCCCCAAAGTCTCTTTCCGTAATCCAAGATGGTGTTGTAGATGTTTAGGTACTCGAGGATCTTGATCATGGCCAGAGGAGTGCATGGCAAGATTGACTTTTGGGTGTTGTGGGGAGGGTCGAGGAAGCGGATGTTCTGGTACATGTTGTTGATGAGCTTGGGAGAAAGGCCCTCGACGTCCTTGTGCATGTCGACGACATATTGGATGGTGCGGTCGCGGGAAGTGTTGAAGACGGGGTAGTAGACCAGGATGCCGTCGACGCTGTCGTCGGTGTTTGCGTCGCGGATGGCTTCTTCGAGCTCTTCACGCTCGACCTCGCGCAGGGTGAATGCAAAGCCACTTGTATGTGTTAGCCATGAGCTCTCGGTCTTATCCCGCGTGCAATGCCCCTATCGGGAAGTCGGGAGCAGAGGACGAGTGGAAGAGGATGGGACTCACTTGTCGATACAGGTCTTGCCAGTCCAGTCGGCATACATGCGCGCCGCAGGGTCCTTGTTCGCGAGGAAGCCGACCAGATGAGGCTTGCGACTCAATTTGGCCAGTCCCTCGGCCACCTCGGCCTGGAGCTTCTTTGCGATGTTGGCCGCAAGGACGACCTTGCACGAAGTGGGGTTGTTGCTCATAGTGCTGGTTTCGACTCCGAGTCAATGAGTTCTGAACGCCGACTCAAAGGGTCTGTTATAGCTGTTGAAGCTTCTAGAGTATTCAAGAAAGTAAGTACAAACAAAGAAAGAACTCACTCTGTGTCTGGCCCTATTCAAATCTTTCCTACGTCTTCCGAGTCAGACTCCCAAAACCCCCACCAAAACTGTTCCATCAAGTAAAAAAAATGTTTCGGCATTGCGACGCACCAATCAGCGCGCAGAAACGCCGCAACGCTCTGACCTCCGCCGCGACAAACCACCACGAACGTCATTGCGTAACACGCCGACTGCGCTGTCCCAGAATATATCTTCATCAAAGAAAGCGCTGGAGAGGCAATTCAGATGTCGATGGGCTAGAGCAATCGACAGTAACACACCCCAATCATGTCCGACATACAGCTTTACCTAGTCGAGGCCGACAAGAACAAGGACGAGGCTAGAAGGCTGGCCGCTCGCTCTGCGGATGCTCTTGCCAATGGAGACCTCAAGCTTGTCCAACTCATCGAAAATGCCGGCGAATACATCAATCACGAGGATCCCTCAATGCGAATCAAGTCGCTTTCCTACCTGGCTGATGTTCTGGAACAAGTCGCACCCAAGGTCTTGAAAGGTCAACAGCGTAATCTCCTATGCGGCTTCATTCTCACCAGAGTTGCCGATGATACAGAGGGTACAGGTCATTGTGCCAGGGCACTGATGGCTCTGGAGAAACTTGGTAAATGGGACTCGGAAACAGCGGCCAACATTGCAAATACGTGCGTCATCCTCAAACCAATCAGAAAGTCAAGCACGCGACTAATACCTGTGTAGCTTCGTGAGTGATTCCCAAACTCTACGGGATCACAAGTTGCAAAGCGAGCGTTTCACAATCCTTCAGCTTCTGGATCTGTTGCTCAGGAACTACCGCAAAGCTCTCAAGGATCTGCACAACGATGACCATGACTTCTTGGCCAGATTCATTACCTACTTTGATGGCGAGAAGGACCCTAGGAACCTGATGGTTGTCTTTTCTATCCTCCAGGTGCCCATGACTGAGTGGGATCTCGGTCCGCATGCCCAGGACCTTTTCGATTCGGTCTTCAACTACTTCCCTATCACATTCAAGCCGCCTCCGGGCGATCCGTATGGTATTACTGCGCAAGATCTCAAGGGGCGTCTTCAAGATTGCATCTCGGCCTCGTCAGACTTTGCTCCGTACTCGTTCCCTGCACTGCTCGACAAACTTGATTCTAGCTCTATCAACACAAAGCGCGATGTTCTAGCGGCTGTCAAGGGTTGCGTCAACAACTACGAGCCTACTACCATTTCTTTGTACTCCGTCACTCTTTGGGACTCGCTCAAGTTTGAGATCTTGAATGTCGAGGAGGAAGACTTGGCACAGGAGGCACTTGCCATTCTCGCTGCGATCGCCAATCAGCTGAGCAAAGTGCAAGAAGGTGCTCTCACTGCCTACCTCAAGCCTGTTATCAAAGAGTGCAATGAACACCTGGAAGACGCTCCCACCAAGCAATCCCAGGCTGCTGGTCGCATCATCAACAGCATTGCAAAGACTTCTCCCGAGCTTGCCAACACAATGACCAAGGCTACCCTCCCTCATTTGTTCGAGCTGTTCCAGTCATCGGAGTCAATCGCTAAACGTCGTGGTCTGATCGAGGTCCTCAACTCGTTGATCAGCGCGACAAAAGACGTCTCGGATCAATGGATGATCTACAACACCGAAGGCATCCTCGTGGCAGATCGTGCCGATGAGAGTGCGTTGCGCGACTGGAGTGCAGAAGCTCTCGAAGCCATGCTCAGAGCTGTTGTGAACGCTCCCAAGTCCGAAGTTTCTTTCCGTCTGTTTGCCATCGCGGGTCTCATCGGTATGATCAAGATCCCAAAGTTGTTGGCCGATAGCGATGTTTCACGTATCATCGAATCGTTCACAGACATCATCATTCAAGAACGATCTGCTACGAACTCAGAAGTTGAAGGAGCAGCTATCAGTGGATTGGCTGTGGCTGCTCACCACAGTCCGATCGTTACGTCGGAGAAGGCTCTACCCACCTTCCTTGCCGAGTTGCCAGACAACCCTACCACGGGTACGGGGTACGAGAAGATCCTCGAGGCATTTACCAAGCTCAGCACAGAGACACAAGTCTTTGATACGATTGTGTTGCGCTTGAAGAACAAGCTTCAAGCTGCTCTGCATCAACAAGCAAACATCACCTACATTCACGCGCTGTTGATGGCCATACTCTTCGCTTTCTCCAATGGATCTCCTGGCACCGAAGACGGCATCATCAAGTTCTCGTATTTCTCAGACATCGCGAAGCCACTTCTAGACCAAGCTCTGGGCCTCTCAGAAGGGACTTCTCGCTCTTTGAGCGATCACACAAGCACAGACATCATTGGGCGTATCAGCAACATCATACTCAAACCACAAACAATGCATCTGCAGAATCAAGTACTGGCGGAGTATGAGTCCGCATTCAACTCTTTCGGAAAGGATACATCCGATGCCTACTCCAAAGCTGCCGTCATCGCTTCGCTACATCTCAACGCTGCTTTCCAACGGGAGTCAATGACTCCGGAGTCAGCCACCAACCTACTCGGTGCGCTGGCCCGTACCGCAAATAGTCAATCCACGTTGCCAGCCGTGCAGCTCTCCGCCCTTCGACAGACTGCCTTGGTAGTAAACAAATTCATACCACCGGCAGATCTAGAGCAAGCCTTGGTCAACACTTCTACGGACGTAGCGTCTCTGCTCGGCCAGACTCGCTCCTCCGAGTCCATCATTCTAGCCTTCTCTGTCGTGAAGGGCTTGTTAATCCAGGGCAAGAGCAACAAATACACCACAGCTTATCTTCAAAGCTTGTTGGAATTATTATCGGATACAACATTTGGAAGCGTGGCAGCTCGTGGCTTCGTGACGATCCTCGCACCTGACGACATCTTGTCAAAAGAGAATCACTGCTACGTTTCTGGCCTCTATAAACAGAAAACGTTCAACCAGACAGTACCTGCCATCTCCGCTTCCAGCAAATCCGCTGACTCGGCCGTAAAGCCAAACTACCTGGTTGCATTATCTGGAATACTCAGATGGCTGCCCTACACGATTATTGAGAACTCTTTGTCAACGCTTGTGTTGCTGCTACTTCAATCTCTCGATCTGCAGGATCAAACCCACCAGGATGTCAAATCTGCCACGTTGGTCTCGTTGGAGACTGTAATCACGCAAAACGCATCCGCACTCTTCGAGCACGCTTCTTCGTTGATCTCGCGTTTGCTCGCATGCACAGCGGCGCCAGACAACACACCGCAGGTTCGTAAGGCTGCTCTGCGTTGCTTGACGCTTCTCCCAACTCAGTTTAAACGGGAAGCGGTGGTGCCGTATAGGAGACAAGTTGTTAAGCGCTTGATGGGCTGTCTTGACGATGGCAAGCGAGCTGTGCGCACGGAAGCGGTCCGTTGCAGGACTGCTTGGCTTGGCCTCGATCAAGAGGATTCGGACGAGGAGTAGAGTTTTCAGGGCAAAGTGATGTTGCTTGCGCCTTGTTCGTAAGCGTATCAACGTCTGACTTTTCTTGTCGATAGAATATAGACTTTTTGCATAAACCACCTGTCAAATACTGTTCCTGTTGAGAGTGAAGTCTGCTGTTAGCGGAGGACCGTGATTGGCATGGATGGATGGGGTGAGGCTGTTTCAGGGCTACAAGATTCTGAAGGTTCGAGTCTAATGGATCCCCCCCATGGGCCCTCTTTCTACTTTGGGGGATTCTTGGAGCCTGGGCCAAAGCACGCCTGGGGTGACCAAAGATAAAACCACAGCTCTACCTGTGAGTGATTTGTTCTGTACACTCTGACCAATGGCTATCTGGATGAGGAGTTGGACTCCACTGATCCGCACGTATGATCGGTAAGGCGTGTTGGGTTTGGGTATCGCGTAGAGTTGCGACTTCCACATATGGGTTGGCTTTGCGAGTCCACCTGCTGCGCACATGAGGTTGGGATGTCAGTCTTGAGAATCTCACATGTATCTTCGTGCTGGGCGAGCTATGGCGCTGTCGATCTTTGTCTCAGTATTTGATGGACTGATGGTTCTTGGAGTTTGTCGTTTTGACAATGTGTGAAGCTGGTGTAGAAGAAGAGATATATCACGAAGGGCAGGGCTGTCTGATCGTTCTTTTCCATCAACAACATCTTCTTTCTTTTCTAATCTGGCTTCCCCTGGCTCAAGCAACACCATATTCATAACATCTGCTCTCTACCTCTGCTCACGATAATTGTGATTACACACTTCGATCGACTCTGTCATCATAACCTTCACAATGTCTACTTCGATATACAACCCATCAGAGGCTCCACGCAAAAACTCAACAACGTCCCGTCATCGTCGCTCAACAATATCCTTGCATTCACCACCTGGTCTCGGTCTCATCAAAACTATTTCCAGAGATCTGGTCACCGGCTGGCACACCCACACCGCTCTACAAAAAGAACCTTGTAGCCCAACACCACCCACCGATGCAAAAGTCCCCTACAAACCAAAGCATGCAGCAAGGGATGCTATGAGAGGTTTTGCATCAGCTGCTCCTCACAACCAAGGATCAGAAGAAGCTGCAAAGATCTCGACCGAGCGAACACGTCAAGATTCAGTGGTCCCAACTCCTACAGCAATCGATGGTACAGAGCCATTGGCCTGTGTGGAGCAAGGATTGATACCAGATCATCGCAATGATACTTGGACTGCTGTGTGGGATACCGCTTACGAACGACGAAAAAACCCTGACGATTGTGCTTTTCCTTACCAATTGTACAAAGAGGCTTTGCCCTTGGATAACATCGCGGCTGCTCCTGGACCTGGCACTACCGCGCCCCGAACGACACAAAGAAGGAGAAGCTCGAGGAATTCGCGACCACCACTCTCGTCTAGCTTTACCGTCACTGATGCTGAGATTAGAGCTTTTATCTTTGAGAATTGTAGGGCTGAGGGATATGAATCTCCTGAGGCGTTTTTGAGGCCGAAAAGTACTAGGAGAGGGAGTGAGGTGCCGAGTTTAGTGCCAAGTCTGGTGACAAGCGAAGGTAGCGGGTTGGAGGATCTGGAGGAGAAAGAGGAAGAGGGCGAAGCGGTTGAACAAGTTAAGATGCCAGGAAAACAGGCGGGCAGGGGTGGAGTTTGCATGCATTGTTCAAGATGTGGGGGATGTGCGAGAACGTAGGTGGCTCAAGGTAAAGTGGCATAGAAAAAACAAAACTGGAGACATGCTTGATAGAGAAATCTTTATGGATCATCAGAAGAGGAATGCGATATGGGTAATCCTGCTTCTTTGCTCTTGACATAGTCCTCAAAAACCTAGCAGCGTCAAGCTCGAAGCCTTTGTCCACTTGACACATCAACCTGACCAGCCCTTGTATCATCCGGACCGGCTTTGTTATACGGTCTGTTAGTCAACATAGGACGGTGAGTACACGGAGTCTCCAGGTTCATGAGTCCAAGGTCAGAGGAGTGGATCCCTGTAGCATGGCGTAAGAATTCGGTGAGAAGTTGGGTTATGAGGTTAAGGACAGGACTCAAACATTTTATATCATGAGGAACTTAGGTTTTACCATACATGAGACAGATTCGAGAAATGGTGTATCACTGACCCCGTTACTCACTTACACCTGCGCGGAGTATGCTAACCCTTTCAGTCGTATGATCTAATGTGTGTTGGGACCATTCCCATCACAGCATTGCGTCTGGATCCTGACAGTGAACTTGAGTGTTGTGTCCGCAAGACGTATAGTATGATACAAAGCGTTTTTCACGTGCTTATAAGATATCTGAGATACACCTAATGCAGAAAATCTGACAGCGAGCGCCGATGTTTGAGTATCAGTCGTCACTAAATCACACACTTCACTTGTTGAGTACGAAAAGACCGCATAATCATCAGCGGATTTGAGATCCTATACCGTCCGTTCAAGCGGCGGTGCGGACCCTAGACAACAAATATTTTCCTTTCTACAAACCGGTCAGTGGCATCGCATACTATAGCAGCTTTCTCGCTCTTGTGAAACTCGCTTGGAAAGGCAATACCATCTGCTACTAGCATACGATAACATGGAACACCAAGACGAGTCCGATCATCGGCGCTCGCGTTCTAACATGCATGTGGTCTATATCTCTCCCGGAGAGCAAGCAGGATAGGGGAGGTGAATGGGTCATTGGGCTTCGCGGTATAACGAGTCACTGACCTACTTGACCCTTCGAGGCTTGCTTCATCGATACTCCTATCGAGCGATCTTGTAGCATACTACACCGGCAGTGTGGCTACTGAATATTGTTGTAATCCTTGGAACTACCAGGGCGGTTGTCGTCGCCTGTTTCTTACTACTAGTTACAACGAGTAAGTTTTTTTCGCATGCTGGAGTTCGGACCCTCCTGTTCCATATGTCAGTCATACATAAATGAGTTTGAGCAATCACGGTCTTCTGAATCCCACTGCCTATCATACACTAATTTCTGGCGGATACGAAGCGCTTCCTCATTCGATGTTGAAAAATGATGATGAAATGTGATAGGATTGCAGTGATATTCTAGCATGATTGACCCATAGTAGACTGTGAGAGGCCGTTTTTGCTTGCAACATCCCATAGATCGAGTTCAATCAACGCAACATGTACACGAGGCAATCACCCGAACGTATCGTATCCGCGTGAGCTGAGAAAGACGTGATGTTCTTGTGGCGGCGGGATGCATCACTTCATATCCAGACAGGTCGATAGAGTCGCAGATTCTGTACTATGGCATCGGTGACAGCGATTTGACGGTTGGTCGAGAAAGTCTACTATCGCAGACGTGCTGTGAGTGACACAACTTGGTCTGAGTGTCGAGATGATTGGGTGAGTTTGTAAGCCTGTCTGTGTCTCGGATGTGAAGATGTGCGGGAGTACTTGGGCTAGAGTGCAGTATGTATCTGACCATGACTGCATGTCGAGACCCACACTCGCGGTCACGTCCTGGAAGACCGTCTTGTTCAGGTGTTGAGTGGAGGTTGTACTGTCCTTGGAGAATGTTGAGCATCTTCATAATCGAAGCTAAGGCTTGGATCCTGACAAGACCAGAGTATAGTTGGTTGACTCTAGCAACCGGAGAGGCTACTAAAGTAGTAGCCTCGAAGTCTTCAGAACCTGCGAAGATTACTTTGCACTACAGATGTTGGTGGCCTTCGCTCACGCCTGTCGGAAGAAGATAATCAACACCCTGCCACCGTCTCATAGAAGATTCGTTCCAGCGGTTAGGGTGAGCGATAGGTCAGAGTAATCGCCGAAATTCGTCGCTTTCCAGTGCAAGGCTGGCCAAGCTTAGTCGGGATGGCCTTGCTGCACCACAGCATAAATAGACAGCGAAGCGGTGATGAGCAGCAAACATAGCCTTTTCGGTAATAGAGCTTCAGCAGGTCAGATGAGTACAGCAGTGAGGCACGCAGGTCAGGCACAGTGAGGTTCCGGGAGTGTCATGGATGGTCGAAGTCGACTATGGGAGTCATCTCGGACCGAGACGAAACTCGGTACCTAGACTGCGACTCCAATGGCGAAAAGGATCAAAGACAGGCAAATGGCATTGTGGAAGCACTCGTCCAAGATGGAGTTGGTCCGAGTATGATGGAAAACAAGGAGAGTTTGACGGAGGTGTTCTGCCGGGGGATCGGAACCCCACTCGCTGCTCCGCAATCAGCTGCATGAAGAGTACATGATACCTGGGCGGAGCTGGAGGTGAGAACAGTAATACGGCTGACATCTCAGCTCTTGGACATCTTTCGACTTGGTTCCTCCCCGAAATCGATCAGGTTGACTTGCTTCTTTCTCTGCTCGCATTCAACATTGGTATATCAGTCAGTCGTGTTTGATTCTTGTCGAAATGGTTGTAGCTCGTCAAGAGCCTCCTCAGGCGGCGCGTAGCTCATACTTTGCATCGCAAAGCTCTTATTATGCCTCACTGTACTCTGCTGCACAAGCCTCACAGTCGGCTTCTGGGACATACGATGATGATGATGATCAGGATACCAGCAGCAGCGGGTACGACGACAAGACTGGATCGGACTTCTCAACGGCAATTGCTCTTGCTTTCGGATCCACGACAGCAACATTGGAAAACACTGCGACAACGACGGAGAGCATTTCATATGACGCTGCTCAGTCGCAGACGAGCGAGGGAACGATCACCTCTGAGTCGATTGTTCAGTCCACCACAACGCCAAGTATGACGACGAGCTATTCGTGGACTCAACCAGCATGGCGACCTGGATGGCGGTCATACACTCCGTCATACATCAGCACAGCGACTTCGTCTGAAACCAGTGCTGCAAGTCTGACCCCTGGACTGGACACCCAAGAGAAAGCTCACCACGGTCCAAACACAACCATCATTGCTGGCATCGTGATTCCGATAGTAATCTTGCTGGCGAGCGGTCTCGTAGCTTTGACTTGTCTGCGTAGACGACGAAAGCGTGCCACTGTCTCTGGCGCCGGTGATGTCGCCGTCGCTGGCGCGGCAACACCTATCGCGATGGCCGAGAAGGCAGCGGAGAAGAAACCTATCCCGGGTGTTCATCATACGACTCACACAACTATATTGTCACCGATCGATGAGGCAACAGCGGCCCCTCAGCTTCCCCAACTCCTCATCACTTCGTCTCAGAATGCATCCTACTTCACAGGGCTCGACACATTTTCCGTGCACTCAGCCGCCACGAGCGAGGATCCACCACCACCCTACCGGGCACGAAGTATGTTGAGCCATACATCTTCGGAGCGACGTCAGCCGAGTATCGTACAAACTGCAGCTCTTGCACCGGTTTCACCGATCTCACCAGTCTCCCCGGTGGCTCATCTCGCTTCGCCGTTTTCCGACGCGAACGCGATATCCATCACGAGGTCACCTTCTCAAAGGTCATTCGCGAGTACGCTGTACTCGAGCAACGCTAGTGTATATGAGGCACGACCTGCACGACGAAGCACAGGACCTGCTCAGTATGTGATCAGTCCAAGATCATCGATTGAGGAACCGGCTAGAGTGAGGTCACCATTTGACGATCCCGAGGATAATACTGCTGATGAGCGACGTGGTGGGTTTCAAGGGTACTGAGCGCTCATAACAAAGGTGCTCTGACCAATGAAACACATGCATACCCGGCCGACTATACTATGCGGTTTGCTCCTCGATTATGTCTTTCCGGCGTTCGAGCGAAAGGTTGTTGTTGAAAGCTTTTTTGTGGACATTGAGGATATATAGTACGTGTAATGACAACGCGAAATATTTTGTTGCTCTTACCTCGTAGGCAAAGACTTTCTGGGTGCGAAAGCAACTTCTTCTGGGAGACGGAAAGAAGCACAGAACATCCTCTTCTTTGGTGCAACATCTCTAACATCGAAGATGCTGAGCTCGGGGGTTTGCGGTGTGACTTCGTAGCCGATCTGCTCGGATATTTTCTTGCAGATGCTGATGCCTTCTTGTACGTTGTCATCGCTCTTGGTGTCGAAGCAGTAGACGTGAATCATCGGCAGCTTGAAGTCGGCGGGGAGTAGCTTCCTGTCTTCCTCCGTGTACAACCCAATGAATGCAGGCAAGAACTCGATGGCGCTCGCTGGCAAGTTCATGACATAGTGGGAGAAAGTATTGGGCTCATGGATGGTTTGCAAGACCTTGGGCGGCGCTTTGGTCGCCTTGGCCTCAGTGCGAGTTTGTTTTGCGAGAACCTCCACCTTGCGGTTGGTTGTCAGAAGTTTGTGTGCGGCTTCCTTGATGAAGACATGGCCGTCCTGGTTGAAAGGTTTGACGTATTGGTCGACCTTGTTGCGGCTGATAGCGTCGAGCATGCTGGCATAACTGTCCGGGTTGAGATCGTTGGCCCAGACAAATACGCCCTTCTTGCCTGCGGGCACTGCAAAAGGTCCAATTCCCGCCATAACGTCGCAAACAGCCTCGCCCTGGGCGAAGGAGTCGACAAGTCTTTGGTGCTCAGTGTTCAGTCTGCTATTCCAGTAGACCTTTGCGTAGTTGAACTTGAATGTGCAGTCTGCTTCGCGAATCTCGACGTCCATATCATCGGGCCCAGCAAGGACTTCGTACTTGAAAGTGCGATACTCGCTCTCCTCACCAACATCATCAATCTTGTTGATTACAGTCCTGACAGAAGGGTTCTTATCGACCAAGATCTCGCCAATGATATTCTTGTAAGGCATGTATTGGTCACGAAGGTTCAGATGTGCAACGTGACCGACGAGGGTGAAGCCAGATGGGATCTCGTCATGCTCTTCGCTCTGAGGAAGTACGGCACTGGCGATGTCCTCTGCTGAGTTTAGCGTGTGTACAGTCAATGTTTTCGTTTAGAACTTACGGTAGTCCCAGTAGTCGTAATCAAGGTGGACTTCATAGGGGATGATATCAATCATGTTCGCTTTTTCTAATTCTGATACAGTTTTGCTCCATGGGTACTCAGCGCCTGTGTATCCATTAGATGTTGATGCGAAGGCTAACAGAGTCATGGCGGCTTACCCTTGTCGTCCACTTGCGGCCTCAACAGGATGCATTTCTTTCCAGCTCGTGCGTCAGCCTCGTTAGGATCAGGTCGGACGATCTGGTATCTTTCGAGACGGAGGACATCGTTTGCACGGAAAAGTTCAGATCTGCACTTGGAAATAGTCTTGTTGTCGACTACGCGAGCAGCCGAAGCAGGAATTTTTTTGTGGAAGAAGGAGCGATCCAGGACGCGCATGGCGCGGTTGACTGGAGGTCTGAACATGTCTTCTGCCATTGGTCGTCTTGTGAGGAATAGTGGATTATACTGAGAAGTATGGTCAGTATCACCTCTCACGTGGGCTGAGTGGATGGAAATGTTTGAAGGGTTTGTTCTGCGAGATTCGATATGTGGCTGGTGGGAGATGTTTGGTGTGGCTGCGTGACGCAGGTTGTGGCGTGTGGGGAAGTTGTCTTGTTGTACCTAACCAAATCACAATCCAACTACAGCAACCATCAACAATCTCGCCATGCCGTCTGTTTCCTGGCGCGTCCAATTCAGCACCTGGCCATAATATATACGCGACTCAGAACATCCGCAATACTGACAAGATGGCGTTGGGTGGTGGAGGAAACATAAAGGTCGTCGTGAGAGTGCGACCTTTCAATAGCAGAGGTACCTCCTTAACACAACCTCGACACGATTCACCCAATCCTAACCCTGCGACCATGCAGAGATTGACCGGAAAGCACAATGCATCGTCCAAATGAAAGGCGAGCAAACGGTGCTCTCTCCGCCAACGAATACCGATGCCCGCAACAAGAACGCGAAGGCCGCCATTGACGGCTCCAAGACATTCGCTTTCGACAAGAGTTACTGGTCCTTCGACAAGAAAGATGCCAGCTATGCCGGCCAAGACAATCTCTTCGACGACCTCGGAAAGCCCTTGCTGGACAATGCCTTTGGAGGTTACAACAACTGCATCTTCGCCTACGGCCAGACTGGCTCCGGAAAGTCGTACTCGATGATGGGTTATGGTCCAGAAGAAGGTGTAATTCCCAAGATTTGCAGATCAATGTTCGAGCGCATCGAAGAGGCTCAGAAGGACGCCAACCTAAACTGTACCGTCGAGGTCTCTTACCTCGAGATCTACAACGAGCGCGTCAGAGATCTGTTAAACCCCTCGACCAAAGGCAACCTCAAAGTCCGTGAACATCCCTCGACCGGTCCGTATGTCGAAGACCTTGCCAAACTCGTTGTGCGCTCCTTCGCCGAGATCGATCACCTCATGGACGAGGGCAACAAGGCCCGTACTGTCGCAGCTACCAACATGAACGAGACAAGTAGTAGATCGCATGCCGTCTTCACCCTCACCTTGAGCCAGAAACGCCATGATGCAGACACTGGAATGGACACAGAAAAGGCCGCCAAAATCTCGCTGGTCGATTTGGCTGGTTCAGAGAGAGCTCAGTCTACAGGTGCAACCGGTGCACGTCTGAAAGAAGGTGCTGAGATCAATCGATCCTTGTCTACACTTGGCCGTGTCATCGCTGCTTTGGCCGATCTCTCGAGTGCGAAGCCTGGTGCCAAGAAGAAAACCGCTCAGGTTCCGTATCGTGATTCTGTCCTCACGTGGTTGCTGAAAGATTCCCTAGGTGGTAACAGTATGACGGCCATGATTGCTGCAATCTCGCCAGCCGACATCAACTTCGACGAAACACTCTCTACACTCCGTTATGCCGACTCTGCCAAGCGTATCAAGAACCACGCTGTCGTAAACGAGGACGCCAACGCTCGCATGATCAGAGAATTGAAGGAGGAACTCGCACAACTACGCTCGAAACTTACCGCAGGTGGTGGAGGAGGCGAAAGCGGTGCCGTCGCGGGCGAACAATATCCGCCAGACACACCTCTGGAGAAGCAAATGGTTTCCATCACACAAGCCGACGGCACTATCAAACAAGTGTCAAAAGCTGAAATCGTGGAACAGCTGGATCAGTCAGAGAAGCTTTACCAAGATCTGAATCAGACTTGGGAGCAGAAGCTACAGAAAACTGAGCTTATCCACAAGGAGCGAGAAGCTGCTTTGGAAGAGCTTGGTATCAGCATCGAAAAAGGCTTCGTTGGCTTATCGACGCCTAAGAAGATGCCTCATCTGGTCAACTTGAGCGACGATCCGCTACTTGCGGAATGTTTGGTCTACAATCTGAAACCAGGCACGACAACAGTCGGTAATGTCGAGACAGCGAAGACAGCAGAGATCAGACTCAATGGTTCCAAGATCTTGCATGAGCACTGTACATTCGAAAATGAAGACGATGTTGTCACAGTAGTGCCCAGAGACAATGCAGCTGTCATGGTCAACGGTCAACGCATCGACCAGCCCAAGAGACTGCGCAGCGGCTATCGTATCATACTTGGCGATTTTCATATTTTCCGCTTCAATCACCCGCAAGAAGCAAGGGCCGAAAGAGCGGAGGCAGGCAGCAGGCTGAAGCAGTCGTTCACAGCAGACGAGATCGGTGACCCTTCATCTCCCTCGCCATCCGCTGGCCATGACCGCTCGTGGAGTAACGTTAGCAGGCTGAACCCAGATTATGACTCGGATTCTAGAGCCAACTCGCCAATGCCCATGCGTAGTCTGAGTGGTCGCGAGAATGACTATGATCTCGCCCGAAGGGAGGCTGTATCATCGATGCTCGGCTCAGATCAGAAGATTGCGGCTCTCACGGATGACGAGCTGGACAATCTGTTTGACGACCTACAGAAAGTCAGAGCCGTTAGAAGAGGCAGACCGGAGAGCCGACTGTTTGATTTGAACGAGGACGACTCTGACTCGGTCAGTTCGTTTCCTGTCCGAGAAAAGTACCTGTCGAACGGAACATTGGAAAACTTCTCGTTGGACACTGCTCTTACGATGCCGTCAACACCACAGGACGATGATGAAGACAAGACGTTACGTTTAGCCAAGGAGGGGCTGGAAGCCGAACTCGAACGACAGAAAGAAGAATACCGAGCGCAGATTCAGTCCGCGCAAGAAATGAACGTCGAAGTAGAGACGATACGCGCAGAGAAGACCAAGATGGAGGAGAATCTCAAAGCCGTCAAAGAGGATATGGAACAGCGACTTCAAGCACAGAAGGACGAATACGATCGTCAACTGAAAGAGCTTCGGAGCACTACTGCGCAGCCTGTAGATCGTAAGACTGGTCTCACAGAGAAGCAACTTCAACTCGTCAAGTCGTGTATCCAGCATTGGCGTCAGCAACGGTATGTCGCCATGGCTGCTGCCTTGCTACAGAATGCGGCCATCCTGAAAGAAGCTCAAGTCATGAGCCAGCAGATGGACAAGAATGTTGTCTTCCAATTTACTGTCGCGGATGCAGGTCACACATACGGGTCGTCATATGACCTTGTTCTGAGCGATATCAGTGCTGATGACGATATGGCTTTGCACACGGCTCGCAAACCCTGCACCGCGGTCAGAGTCATCGACTTCAAGAACAACGTTGTCCACCTCTGGTCGTTACATAAGCTGCGTGCTCGTGTGCGCTTGATGCGTCAGGTGTTCCAATACATGGACAGGCCAGAGTATATTAAGCATTTCCGCCTGGATAATCCATTCTCGGAGTCATGCCTACCACAGTATACCCGAATTGGAGACGCCGACATCTCATTGGCCGCCGTCTTCGAGTGTCGAGTGCAAGACTTTACCCTCGACGTCTATTCACCATATACCAATACGATGGTCGGCATTGTTCGACTTTCCTTGGAGCCATCGTCAGCTGAGGCGCCATCGTCCATGCTCAAGTTCAATGTCGTTATGCACGACTTTGTAGGCTTCTCAGAGCAGGAAGGCACTGAAGTGCATGCGCAGCTCTTCTTCCCAGGCATCTCGGAAGAGGATGGTGCATCCACTACGCAGATAGTATCCGACTTTGACGAAGGCCCTGTACGGTTCGATAGCGTGCACAGCATGAGTTTGCCGCTCGCCAGTCCGCGTGACTCGTCTTTGCGAGTCTCTGTGTTTGCGCGAGTAACAGGCACACATCTAGACAAGTTGCTCAGTTGGGATGACATGCGTGATTCAACAGCTAGACCTCAGCTGAAGCGCAACAACTCTCGGATAGCAGAGCATGAGTACTACAACGAAGAAGGTCACGACGTCTTCGCGCGTATTCAAGTGCTAGAGATTGGGGAAGACGGCTCTTACAAACCTGTCGAGGTTGTACAGAAGAACATCATGGATCCTGGCACATACCAGCTTCATCAAGGCCTTCAGCGTCGTATCTCGCTGAACTTGACACACACTTCGGGCAACATTCTACCACTTCAGGAAGTTACATCTTTACGAGTCGGTAATGTTCATTTGGTAGACCCATCTGGTAAAGTGCCCGATTTGAGCTCTCAGCAGACCGATGTGACGTTGACTCCTGTGTCTCCACCAATAATCCGCACCAACCCCGATGGGACGACCAATATCCACATCGTCACACATTGGGATTCCAGCTCTCATGAGTCACTCCTACTCGACAGACCCACAGCCGAGGGATACTGTGTCAAGTTGTCATTTGCCTGGACCATGGCATCACCCAAGTTGGCTGAGCCAATAGAGTTTGTGACAGACCTGGCAGTGCAGATGCGAGGACGATCATTCATGCGTCAAACCTCGCTGTTCTCGTCAATCTTTAGCTCTTCACGTATCGTCCGCTCGACCAGCGGTGCGTTCTCTGTCACCGTCAAACCGATACCATCCAAAAAAGCTGGGGATTTGTGGCGGCTTAGCACATCGAACACATACATCAAGGGCGAAGAGCTGCTTCAAGGCTGGTCACCACGTGGTGTTTCACTAATTCACGACTTCATTGACAGTCGTTCAAGCAAACGGAAGATGGCTGAGATTGATGCTGCAAGAGGCGCGCTCAGCTCACACAGTCTCTCCATGGACATAACGTCGGCTCAAGCAGCACAAAGGACACCAGACGAGCGACAGAACACTCTCATCCGGAGGATACTCAAGCTCTGGACAGCCGAGCCAGCCATTGGTAAGCTGATCCTCACGGAAGCAAACACAGACTCGCCTCGTAAGGGGGCCGCTTTCGCCACCAATGGCACAAGTATGCCATTATCACTGGCGACTGTTCACTTCATACCTAAAAATCCTTCGTTACTCAAAGCTGGCTATCTGCTCACGCCTGACCCAGCAGCTCGCGAACCATCACGCTGGGTTCGACGCTACGTCGAGCTTCGCCAACCATACATGCATGTCCATTCCGCGACTGCGACAGAGCATGAAGAGATTGGCGCAATCAATTTGAACTCGTCGCGTGTCGATGCAGCACCACAGATTGCAAAATTGCTCAGACGCGAAGGCGGCACGCCAACAGCGGTGGGCAGACACGGTGTTCCTGCTGTAGCAGCACCCGAGAATGTATTCGCAGTGTACGGCAGTACCAAAGCGTGGGTGTTTGCAGCTAGAACAGAGAGGGATAAGAGCGAGTGGATCTTCGCCATTGATAGGAGTTATATCGGGACAGAAGAGTTCGAGGACGACGAGGATGAGGATGACCGTTATTAGCCGAGACGCGAAGCTGGTGGCGCAACCCGGGTCCATGATCACGCATTTTCGCGTTGCCGAGGACAATCTGTTTGTATTATGTACGAGATACCCAATTCATTATCTGTTTGCCTAGTCTATATTACTCTTTGCAATGTTCGTATACCATTTAAGGTTAACCAGCGACAAGCTCCAGGCTTCGCGGCGGGCGACCTCTAGGCAACCGAATTGTTTATCCGGCTGCGCCGTAAACCGCCGCAGATTAATCGCAACGCCGTTGGCTTCCATTTCGTTGTCTCTGTATCTCTTCGGGCTACTGAAGAAGTGAAAAGTGCCTGGTCGTACCTCTCATCTTTGTCGGAGATTCCACTCGTGTCAATTGTACAAAGAAAGCAACGCACGTCGTCGGCACCTCTCCGCTTGTCGAACGGCGACAATGCCGTTCCACGCCGGGCAGCAAGGCCTCTTCGACTTCGACCAAGTTGATTTCGATTTCAATGTCCAATTCGAACAGCTCTTCTTCTCTATCGTGCCATCAGTGGTTTTCATTGTCGCATCAACATGGCGAGCTGCCACTCAACTTCGGAAGCCTACGTTGGTGAAGGCACCCATCTTCCAATTTATCAAACTGGTACGCGAGCATCACGATCACACGCCAAGCAAGCATCACTGACAAAGAATATAAGACTACCATCATCATATATCTGACTCTCGAGTTAGCACTGTTGGTGCTTGCAGCATTGTCCAGGTTCCAGGCCTCAAGCACGTTTCTGGCGGCTTCGGTCCTCAAACTAGTGTCTGCTTTGACAATGGTCACCCTCAGTCTCGCTGATCACAACAAGAGTCCACGCCCGTCAGTCTTACTTGGTATCTACCTTTCGTTGACACTACTTCCCGACGCGGCTCAAGCGAGGACGCTCTTCCTTTCGTCTGATGATAGCTCAGAAGTCGCCTACAGCAGCGTGTTTTCTGCTGCACTCAGTTTGAAGATACTCATACTTTTGCTGGAGGCCAAGAAAAAGTCTCAATGGTTGGCCTGGGATAAGAATGATCATAGCCCAGAGGAGTTCAGTGGCATCTTCTCGCTTGGTGTCTTCGCATGGCTCAACAAGATGTTCTTGGACGGCTACAAAGGAGTTTTGACATTGGACGACCTCTACCCACTCGACAATGCTCTGGATGGCAAAACTCTACATAACAAATTTTCCGAGCATATGGACTACACGAGGCTGAACGGCGACAAGTACGGTCTTGTCAAGGTACTTATACGCACTCTCAAAGGCCCCTTGCTAATCCCTGTCATCCCACGCCTGGCTCTTTTGGCGTTCACGTTCTGTCAACCTCTGTTTATCCAGAGCATATTGAATTATCTTTCACAGCCAGAGCTTGACGCAAATGTCGGATACGGCTTTATCGGTGCGAGTGTATTGATATACTCGGGAATCGCCATTTCGACGGCTTTGTATTGGTATAAGTGATTATACCTTCAAGACTCAATATTTACTGACACACAACTCAAGGTATTGCTACCATCGTTTGCGTACTATGAGCAGATCTATACTCGTCACCGAGATCTTTCTCAGGACTACACAGGCTCGTCTCGGATCATCTGACGAGAATGCAGCGGTGACTCTCATGAGTACTGACATGGAACGCATAGATCTGGGGTTCAGATCCTTGCACGAGATCTGGGCTAGCGTCGTACAAGCCGGTCTAGCCAGTTGGTTGCTATACAACCAATTAGGCATACTCTTTATGGCACCAATCGGATTAGTGCTTGTCTCATTCACTCTTCTTGTGATCTTCATGAAGTTTGCTGGGGACTCTCAACGAGCATGGATGGCCGGAGTTCAGAAACGTGTCAGTCTGACCGCGACTGTCATTACCAGCATGAAGAGTTTGAAGCTGTCCGGACTTTCCGGCACCATCACAGACTTCGTTCAGGGACTTCGCGTAGAAGAGATCGCTGCAGGTGCCCGGTTTCGCAAAATCACTATCATCGCTGCGTTCCTAGGCTTTGCCCCGATGTTATTGGGTCCACCCTTGACGTTCGCATTCACGCAAAAGACTCTGAACGTGTCAAGGACATTCACCAGTCTCTCATATTTGACACTATTGCTAAGTCTATTGACTCAGATCTTCCAAGCGGTTCCGCAAGTCCTGTCCGGACTGGCATGCTTAAGTCGAGTTCAAGCGTATCTGGAATGTGAATCGCACGCAGATTTCCGCAAGATGAGCAGTACACACATTTCAAGTCAGAAGAAGACTATGAGATCATCTGAAAGTGCTGCAATAAATTCCGAGTCTAGTTGCGTTATCGACATGGAGAACGCAGAGTTTGGATGGGAACAAGATAAGCATGTTCTGCACGGCGTGACGACACAAATCAAAAAGTCGGCGCTCACGATCGTGGTAGGGCCCGTTGGCTCAGGAAAGTCGACGTTCTGCAAAGCCTTGCTTGGTGAGATTCCATTTTCCAAAGGCAGAATGACGCTCACCACCAGTGTCCCACATGTGGGTGTTTGCGAACAGATAGCGTTTCTATCCAACGGATCCCTTAGAGACAACATAGTGGGATTCTCACCCTACGATGCCAAACGCTATGCCGAAGTTATCGAGGCTACCGCTCTGTCTTTCGACCTAGACTCGCTTCCACAAGGCGATTCGACCAACATAGGATCTGATGGCATAACTTTGTCGGGTGGACAAAGGCAACGCGTCTCTCTTGCCCGAGCTCTATATCTGCAGACAGACCTGCTCGTACTTGATGACGTATTCAGTGGTCTGGATGCTGATACCGAAGATCAGGTGTTCCGTCGAGTTTTTGGATCAGGTGGATTGCTCAGACAACGACAAGCAACTGTTGTGCTCTGCACACATAGCATCAGCCATCTACCGGCAGCAGATCAAATCATAGCTTTGGGACATGGTACCATTGCCGAGCAAGGTGAATTCAAGAAGCTCATGGCTCGTGAAGGTTATGTGCACCGTCTCAGAACCTGGGACTCTATGGATGACAAGTCTTCGTCTGGGATATCTCGCTCGGAAAGCAACACCCACGGTCCGGAAACCCCTACCGGTCGTAAGGTTGAGCTTCCACCGTCAACTCCGATACGTACGGCAGATGCTCTAAGGCAAGGAGGTGACAAATCTGTCTACACGCACTACCTTAAGAGCATGGGTTGGACTTTGGCCGGACTCGCAGTCTTCTCTGCAGCTCTTTGGGGATTCTTCACCAATTTTCCCACTATCTGTAAGTCTCTGAAGTTCACATGTGAGTCCGATGCGCCATTACTTACTGGTTAATTACAGGGCTCACATATTGGTCAAACGATGTCTCGAAGCCCCATCCTGTCCATCCATGGGCCTACTACGCTGGGCTGTACGCATTATTTCAAGTCTGTGGGCTCTTCTCACTCTTGTCGCTTGGAATAGTCATCTTCATTGTCTCAATAACACGAGTAGGGGCAAACCTTCGCAAGACTGCTTTGCATACACTCGTCAAAGCGCCTCTGAGTTTCTTCACTAGCACCGACACCGGAGTGGTCACAAACTTTTTCTCACAGGATCTCAATTTGGTTGATACAGAGTTACCGAATGCGCTACTCAACTTCCTATTTGCTGTGAGTGCTGTGTTTCGGCAAGATCTAGACTGAAGTACCAAATACTAATTTCGCTGTGCGCAGTCGTTCTCAGCTATCGGACAAGCAGCCGTGATTCCCACATCCTCTCCTTATATGGCTATCAGCTACCCATTCCTGATCCTGTTGCTGTATATCGTACAGAAGTTTTACTTGAGGACCGCCAGGCAGTTAAGATTGCTCGATTTAGAGGCCAAAAGTCCCTTGTAGTAAGTTTTGGTCTATCACTCGGCTACTCTTAGTCATCAACAAGTTATACTGTCCCATACTGACTTGATCATCAAGTACACATTTTCTCGACACCACAAAAGGCATTGTCACTTTGAGAGCTTTCGGTAAGTGGACCATGGTGATTCAGCAGATGTCAAATCAGATCCACAAGATCATTCTGAAGAATCTCGCAAACTCTGGATACGTTTGACGACGCTGGCTCCGAAAGCAATTTCACGCTAATTCTTACAGGTTTCATATCGGAGGAACTCGACAAAAACGCACGCCTGGTAAACGACAGTCAGCGCCCTGCATATCTGCTAATCATGGTTCAACAATGGTTGAATCTTGTGCTCAATGTCGTGGTAATGACCATGGCTGCAGTGTTGACGACCCTTGCAGTCCGTATGCATTCGAGCTCTGGATTCACTGGTGCTTCCCTAGTGACTCTCATGGGATTTGGAGAGAGTCTGTCTGACATCGTGGTCTTTTACACTAGATTAGAGACGTCGATTGGGGCAATCTCCAGACTAAAGACGTTTAGCGAGACTGTGCTACCCGAGGACAGAGAAGACGAAGATGTTGTTCCTCCAGTGCAATGGCCACAAACAGGTTCTATCGTGATGGAAGGAGTATCTGCCAGCTACAAGTGAGATGGAAACATCTCCTTCCACGAGTCTTGCTGACCGAATTCCAGGAGTCTTGAAGCCCAAGACAACGAGTCTCCTCACTTGGCTGTGCGAGATGTCAGTCTTACCATCAGTGCTGGAGAGAGAATTGCCATATGCGGCCGTACGGGCAGTGGGAAATCCAGTCTCATCGCTATATTCCTCAAGCTACTGGATGCCACTCCGGAGACATCTGCCAATGTCACGATCGATAATCTACCACTGTACAAGATCGAAAGATCTGCACTGCGCCAACGCGTCCTTGCACTTCCCCAGGAAGCTGTCTTCCTGCCCGATGGCACGACCTTCGCTACCAACCTGGATCCTCTCAACATTTCTGACCCTCACAACTGTGAATCTGCGCTGCAGTCTGTCGGTTTGTGGAATCTAGTAGTCGAAAAAGGCGGCTTAACAGCAGAGATGTCCGCAGGTACCCTCAGCGCAGGCCAACGCCAACTTCTGTCTCTGGCTCGTGTAATCCTTCGCAGACGTCACCGAGCAAGTCAAGGCGCCAATGGTGGTATATTGTTGTTGGATGAGGTTAGTTCGAGTGTTGATCAAGCTACTGAGAAAGTCATGCAGGAAATCATCAGGACTGAATTTGAGGGCTATACTGTTGTAGCTGTGAGTCATCGTTTGGAGATGATCATGGACTTTGATAGGGTTGTTGTTATGGATCAGGGGAGTGTTGTTGAGGTTGGAGTGCCGAGGGTTTTGGCTGAGAAGGCTGAGAGTAGGTTTGGTGAGTTGGTGCGAGCTGGCGAGTAGAGATGGAGCGGTTACTGTTCGCTCTCGCTGCTGTAAGATAAAGCACCGGTGAAGCAGAGTATTGATATGATTTGGTGGATATTGTCGTTCCGATTCGCACGCTTATATGACAGTATAGTATAATCTTTAAGGGCGGGGTGATCCTCCAGCGTAAGCTTCTTGTCTTCTCAAGGGCTCTTGGAATCTGTACGGACCATACATACACAGCTCCGAATCCAACATCATTCCAGGACGGCGTGTCTGAGATTGATAAATATATCATTCGAGGTCGTTCACACTCCCAAACTTATCGGTTTGATTCGACTTCGCTTGATTCGACAACAGTAAGATCTTGCTTTCGGGATACGAAAGGCTATGATCCTATTGTGGGACTGTGTTACCAGTACAGCCCTGGACTCTGGAATCAGAGAATGTGTATCTCCTGTTTCAAATTCGAAGGTGATGTGAAGGTGATAGATCGGGGGATGAAGTGATCGGGTCCATGAAGCAGATTTCATGAACATAATATCTCCTTTTCGCGTGATGACGAAAGAGAGTGGTCCATAACACGATGTTATCAGGGTGACCGAGGAGAGCAGGCATATATCTAAAGCTCTTCGGCCCGACTGCTTTGCCTGGTCAAGGTATTTTGGGCTCGATGCCAGGATCGTATATTCTACGTCTCCATGCTTCTTCATGAAATGTTGGCGGGACATTCAGAATGACTTCAATCGCCCAGTCCGACTCTACATGGATCCGGGAATGGCGCAGGTGGCGCAGGATAGCGACTGGATGTGGTTCAATGTCGCTGCTGGAGTGTTTCGACGAAGCTAAGAGGACAAATTAATTGTCCGCACGTGGATTGTAGCAGCGTAGACTGTCCGTCGGCTTGGCACCAGAGAGGGTCGACAGGCTTCCAGCTAACCCGACGTAGGAAGCGGAAGCGGCTATGCACCCCTCGACTAAGCCCCGCAATACTTACGTGGGTATCAGAGGCCGCCGCTGTCTTCTACGGATCCTCGGCCGCCGTAACTCTCATCTTACCGATGATATGCCTTGTTGCGCTATGAGGCGTCGAGCAGCAAGCCGACGAATCAGCGCGGGTATCAAGTGACAGGCAAGTGAGTTCTGACATCCATTATGCAGCCTGCATGCGCAACACAGGCGGTGGGGCGTATGGAAATGGCCACAATTCGCCGTTTGTGGCTTGCCAGATGCAGGCCTTGCCAGGACAAGAGCAGAAACTATCATAAAGAGGCCAGTCCAACCTCTTCAACAACTTCAACTTCTCTGTACTCTTTGCAAAGTCCTTTGGAATCCAACCAGGTTCTCTGTCGACGTCGCTTTTGAGCAACATACTCTCACACGTCCAACTGCTCTTCTCCGAGAAACCATACTATATCTGGTTCGGTAGCCATACATGGATCCTGAACTGGTCCTCGGCACAATCCAAACCGTCGTCGGCATCCTTACTTTCGGTGTTGCTGCTGTCCAAATCTTTCAGCAATGGCCTCGACGTATGATCAGGGTGGGGAATAGTTGTGAACAATCTCGACGAAGAAGGAGACTAATAAGTGTTCACAGAACGGTGATGAAGCTTAGCCTCGAGATTTACGGAGCGGCTTAAAGATGGAACCGCGGAAACGGTACGGCACGCGCCTAATTGCATATCGACACAACTAGGCTAATCTTTCCATCCAGTGTCGTCGCAATGTGTGGGCTATGAAATGATGAGTGGGAGAAGTAGCAGTGTTGTCATTATCCTGTTTCGCGTTATGTTACATGTTGTGCATTCTGGAATCATCTGTTCTTGTATCCTGAAAGCGTCCCAGCGTGCCTGCTAAAGACCTTGACATGCGACAGTGATCAATACCTTAGTACACAACAGAACTCGGAGAAGTTGTGGCAAGAAAACACGGTATCAAACATGCTCGATATGAAGATGTATGGCGCAACATCAACAGGGAAGGATGATATAAAGTGAAGGGAAAAGAGAGACAATTTGCGAACCAGCCTTCGAAAGTCACACCTCGGTAAGCTTGCCTCTTCCCCACGCTCTGACGGCGGCAGGAGGACCGGAGCTCATTCCGTTGCAGTCGAAAGCTGTCAAAACATTCTTGACGACGATCAGACATGAATATCTAAAGGTTGCTTTTCGCCGTCAGCAGAGGATGACATAGAAGAAAGGCATTCTTGACTTACAGGGTTGTGATGTTGAGGCCGATTCCAGTACAGCTGCATGACTGCAATGCCGTTGGGAGCTTACAAGCTATCATCCCACGAGTGTATGAATGTTCCTGAGCCAGCAAGCTGCTTCATGATCGGCGATAGCTGTGGGTGATACCGCAGTCAACTGTATATCCAGCATAGGACTGCTACCGTGCTAGAGGAACGAGTGGTCGATCAGGCTGGCGTGTAGTATTGGCGCCAATCACTGATCAGAAACGCTCAACGACCAGATGATAGGTCGAAGAGAGATGCGGCGTTTCGGATATCGTCGGATGCAGGCACAGCTATTCATCCATCTTGTCGCATAGGATGATACCTTTGACGAACCCGCGATTTTGACCGCAAACATGGTATACATGTAAGGTTTCAGGTGAGAAGGGCAATCGGACGCCTTGCCTTGTCTCAATGAGTCAAGTTTTCGGGCTTTGTGAGATCAATCAGTCAATCATGATTTAGCGTTCCATTGCGAGGAAGTGGTAGACCATCATCAAGTGCGTTGGCGAAGAGGATGAAAGATGAAAATCGTCACTCGAGGCGAGAAGCTGTTGGCCGTGCCAAGCCGTGGGAGCCTCACTGCCTTTTGGTCCTTCTTCCGCCAAGTGTCATTTTCTGCTCCCTCCATCTCGTAGCTGTGTTAGTCGAGACTTCATAACCGTCTCAGATCTATCTTCGCCAAAACAGATACCGCCTCCCATTGTTCAGACAGGTGACTCGCTTCAGCGGAGTGCACATCACTTGGAGCCAGAATGAAGCTGACTTCCATAGATCTAAAGCAAAGAACCTTGGTAAGGAAAATATCTCGCTACAAGAATCAAACTGTACAAACAAAAACACTCTGATCAATTGTCCGGCTACATCTTGCCAATCCAACCATCATTCATATTCCCAAGATCAATTATCAGAACTGCATAAGGAGTTCGATGTGAAGCTAACCCATCTTCGGTTAGGCTTCCGCAGGCCGCCGATCTAGCCGAGCACTATCTTCGGGCCCGAGCCGATACCCAGATTCTATCGTTGTTCTATGGACGACAAGCGTTAACAAATTACGAACTAGAGAAATTCGAGCATGGATGGACGTACTACAACTTGAGGTCTAGGCCACTGTTGAAGAAGTTGGACGGCAGCGATTGTTACAGCCAGTATGGTGAAAACAGTCTGAATTGCACTGAGGACCAGCTCGGAGTCCATGTTTGTCCGATTGGATATAGTGGGGTGTTGCGTGGCTGTGAAGACGGCACAAGCTGGGAACAGCGTGATCACTGCCTTGACAGAGGGTAAAGAGCAGAATGTGTGAAGATTTTAACTCCTGTCTGTGGAAACTGGTTGATGATTTCGAGGATCTTGTCGACAACTTATAGCAGAGGCGACGCCCCAGCTCAGACTGCACTTTGCTGGTGTTATTCCGCAGCCCACACGTTCAAGTCAACGCCGATTCGGCAGCCGAGTCACCGTAGGATGCGCTTTATGCATACCAAGAGCTAGAAAGCTGTGTCAGTCAGTACCAAGAGCCAAGAATTGCTTGTAGAATGGCTGTGTCAGTCAGTACCAAGAGCCAAGAATTGCTTGGTACCATGGGGTAGAGTGGCTGGGTTTCTCGCCGTGTTGTTGACCACTCCCGACTTGCGCAAGGTCATCAAGAATTCTCGACGAGTGTGTCCATGCTAGGGTCCTACGCGTCTGCATCAGTCACGAACGTCATGGACTCCAGAGCTACCTTCGTGGTATGAGCATCTTGTCAGCGTTGTAGGCACGATACTTGATCAAGACCAGCGAAAGAAGGAGACAGGCGGTAAACATATTGTTTCTGAGGCGTAGAGAGACTCAACCTTTCCAAGGATGTAGGGAGGAATCTGTGGGCATAACTGCCAACCAGACGTGGGCCACCCGCGCAATTGTAGGTGGCCTTGATAAGCACAGTCGAGATATGCTCTGTGCTATCGTGATGTCTCACTAGCTCAGAACAACAACGTGTAGCTGGGTAGCTGATAGTTCACGTATTTAAGTTGTTCTTGGTTCCAGAATTCTGTTTCGGGGTGGGATTTCCTGAGAGGATCGGGCGCAATCCAGCGTGTGGTGACGACGGAAAAGACAAAAACAGCATTGTTCCAGTGCCAGATTGGCTGGATACTGTATCGTACTTCAACATACACATGGAAGTACATATCGCTGTTGATGAACCTCTGCAGGTCTGTCACGACCTTGGACAGTCTCTACTGTTATGGAAGTACGACACCAGAAGCGAGGGACCTCACATAAGTCCTGCGGAAGATCGAGACAGACAACTCTGACATCGTTGGAGTGGAGAGTGTTATTACATCCTCTTGATGCTGTCTGTAGTTGTGTATGTCTAAAGTACATGTGAATCCCGTTCAGGTGGCCCCATCTCTTATATTGTATCCACGCTATGCTGTAGTCTTGTGGAAAGATCTCTACCCCTGATCAGGGGCTCGGTAAAAGATGCGATGCGTTGGTGTGCTGAACGAGCGTGGTTGAAGTGAAGTGGTGTAAAGTAATGTGAGCGAAGCGAAGGCGGTTGCGTGAGGTCTTGAGTGTCGTGATGTAGGCGTCGAGAAGGTTGAGAACGACTGGCCGATGCTGTGGTCAACACAGAGTCAGTAACGAAATAACAGCACACGGGATGACGACACCTACGAGCTAGTCTTTCTTGAACTTGTGGTTGCTGTAACCTTGGTTGGTGTACAGGGGCAGAATATGCCCCTCTTTGGACATCTCCAGCCAACGGCGCATACGTCGAAGAAGACTTCGCCCACGATCAGACATGTGTCCGACAAATTGGTAGACAATGACAGCGAGACGAAGGAGGGACGCAAGGGCAACGGCCCCAAAGTTGTTCCTGGGGGATGGCATATTTATCGGGTGCGGGCGGATGAAAAGGGAAGCACGTTTTGTGGACGAGCTCGTGGGGCCTCGAAGACGGATCTCTGGAGAAGAAAGCGGCAGGCTGAGGACAGAGTGTGGGTAGTGAGAGCTGTTTGGTAAAGATTGACAGTGTTGACTTTCGAGATTCAGGTAGGCACCGTCGGGTTTTGATATCTGAGAGTTTCATTCAGCCAACTGTGTCAAACCTTAGCGTCAATGCAAGGAAAGAGCCTCACACGTGTATCTTCTGTGATCCAAAGTTTGGTCCAGAAGCAGATTACCAAGCCATCAAATACGGGGATCGACAGGCCCAAGCAAAGGCGCCCGGTTCCTGGATCTGGTGGTAGACATCCTTGCTTGGATTCACCAGACTCTTCTACTCTGCCAGCCTTTGAGCATCTGATACGCTTCAAATTGCCGGACGATCAAGAGACGAGACCGTTGCAGATGCTGCACGAAAGTCGTGCTTCCAGTACATCGTTGTATCAGACCAACCTCCCCGCGTCTCGTCACTGAGATGTTGTACCAGTCGCTGTTGTAATTCTCAAACAACCGCGTCATATCATACAACTGCAGAACAACGACATGATCTTTTGCAACGCATGGAAGAATAAGTCCGCAGATGCGACGATCCGACTCTTAGATTCGAAAGCGCCAGCTGAGATCTGTCTGGGTTCGTGTGGGTGTCTGCCTCGTGTTATGCATACATACAGATTCCCGAACGAGCAAATTCGATTAAGCCATCGGCAAATTCTGGAGCTGAAAGTAACGCCTTCGTCGTGAAGGTACCCCGGATCAAGGGTAATGCGGCCAAGGATGAGAAACAGTGGAAAGGTGTGGCACGGGCTTTTTGGGCTGCATTTTCTCCTGCCAGCTCTGACATTGTACGAGCGGGTATTTTCACTGTTTACTAGGTGCGTGAGTACCAAACTTAACCATGTCTACCCAGATTCAAAAGGGTGGATGTCTGCACCGTCGCATCGTTTCCTTGGTCGAACCGGATGCCTAACAATGCGCCATTGCTGCAGGAAGTTTCGGCCCGGACGGGTACCTGGAAAAGCCGAAACACTATCTGTTGAACACACGCACATGCTTCCATACGTGAGCAGACATGTACGTCGGCTGTCAAGGTTTCCGCCGATCTCTCGCATTTGAAGTCGGGATGTCAGGAACAGACGAATATTTTCCTTGTGTACCAACTCTTGGTGCCGTGCGCCTACATGAGCAATTTCACCACGACAAGCATAACCAAAAACACTCGCCGTCAAGTCGCCAGCCGTAGGCTTTCGGTACGACCGCGCGAGTTGTAAGTCTCTGGTGGAAGGGCAGGACCAATGTGAGGCATGCAAATGCTTCGTCTTTCAAAAGGGCAGGCAGAATAGTCTCTACCTATACATACGGTAGAAGCTTGGCGAGTCGAGATTTGACGGACGGGACAGTCAGGAATCGCGGAGTGCATGCGAAAAAGCAGCTCGCGTGCCTTGGCCCGTGTTTGTATGGCCAACAATTAGTTCAGGGCGAGAGAGCGCGTCATCAACGCACCGTTCCGAGGTATAGTTGGACTCAACGGATGCAGCGAGAGCACAGACTGTTGGTTCGCTGGCGTTTTGCATGTGGGAAGCTGCAAGGCACCAGCGACACGATGGACCTTCTAAACTCATGTAAGCGGTGATAAGTATCCTGCGTTTCGGACGCTCGCCCATCTTCTTGTCAGCAGCAAAATTGCAACGGGCAACCACGATTCCTCCGCCCTGTCTGCATCCCCATGTTTGTTCCATATACTCCGACCCATGGCTTGCCGCTTCACATTTGCTTCTGCCAGCACCCTGTTTTATAGGGGCACCGAAGGAGGCATTCCCTCGCTGCAGCTCCTTTCTATCCGAAGGACACATGCAGCAACGACCACCGACTCGAGTCGACCAGCACCGACGACCACAGGCCTCAGCAGCCTTGCTATAAAATCAGCAAGATTGTTGTCACTCCCTTGTAAGAGCGAGAAGGCATTGCTGTGACAACAAGTATTTTTTCCTTCCTGGTGTTGAGGCAGCGCTTACTGCAGCGTTCTGATTGGGCTCAACTCCTCAGGCATGCAGCCTCACGCCAACCGGTCTGTCATCGCCATCTCAGCAGGTTTCGTTGTATCCGTTGACCGCCGAGTGAGACTGAACAAGAGACTTCTGTAGAAACCTCTCGAGAGCCCTATACCATCGGTGAGGGACAAACGGCGCAAACTGCCTTAGGCATGCCGATCTTGGGTTCAAAGATCTGATTAGACGCCGGCTGGTCCTCTGTCAAGACATTCTCTGCCACATTCCTCAGGTAGGCTTGCAAGTCGTGAGTAAGCCTGCGGTCCTGTCGTATGCTACTCGCGGTTTTTTAATATCCAGTTCATGCGAGTCACAGTGGTTGTGTTTCTGGTTTGTTAGATAATCTAAGTTCGAAATGATTGTTATCAGGAAGGAGGAGACGGAGCTCTTTCGGATGAACACCGGCGCGGGGTCCGATGACGTGTGCAGTCAGTGGAAGTTGGAATCAGTGAGCAACTTGAAAGTGGAATCATAAGACATTAACATTGTTTCCCTCTGGGCCTATAGTACAGTACAAAAATACAGTGCTGTGAGCACCAGTAACACAGGAGAGATCGTGGCTCCAAGAGGCCATGCGCTGTCTGCAGAAGCTCGACTGGTGTATGGCGTGGGGGTACGTGATGGGCTTGGAAGCGTCGTGTTGCCAGTCACATTCGTAGGGACGGATAAGTTGAACTTTCGACAGACATCGTCGAATAAGTTCTCGAATACTTTACTGGTCAGCAAGAGCAATTTCGAAGCTATATCAGCACGTACTCAGTAGGTCCGCGGTCTTGTTGACACAGGTTGAGTTATGCTGGACGCAAGGCACGATGTTGTCGATAAAAGCTGTATATCGTGCGCAATGGCAATACTGATCTCCCGATGCGCAATTCGATGCTTTGATTGCTTGTGTATCCCAGGCTCGTATGCAATTCGGTATCGACGCGTTTTGAGGTCCAGTCTGCGCAAGGGCCAGTCCTGACCACAAAGCCAGGACCAAAATAACGAAAGTGGTTGCTGCGAACATGGCGTTCACACGGAAAACGAACGGACGCATAAATTGCCAAAAATCTCGTGGAATCGCATGGTATATGTTCTCAATATATATGTTTTTGTTTTCGGACAATGGTTGAGGAACCGGCTGGCTGCAGATGTCAGCCGTTTTCCTTGCTTTTTTTTGGTATTTATCCTGGCTCGGTATATCGCCATGCCGTGCACCAACACAGGAGATCGACGTGCTCCCTGGAATTCCGCGCACCAAAGCCGCCTCTGATGCAACGATCCGCATGTATTGAATCGTACCCCATGGGTTCCCCATCTTTCACGTGATTTATCGCGTTGAGCGACGTTAGAATCAAAATCGTTATATTTTGGATAAGATAATGACCGCTAGATACCCGCCCAGATAGGAACGCAACCGCTACAACGCCTCGCTGAAGAACAGGTATATATAAGACAAAAGAGAGACATAATGTAACATCGACAGCTTACTAGGATGACACGATTTTGCGGGTAGTGTCCACGGTGATAATCTGCGTGTAAGCAGCTCTCCAATCCATGTTGGCAGGACCAACGTCGCCGGCATGGAACATCATATGCTTGCCATCAGCAGCCACCGATTGACCACCAGGTGCGTACAAATTATCAGTACCGGTGACCAACATAGGACCTGCTTTAACATAGGGACCGCTGATGTTGTCGGCGAATGCATAAGTGACATCGTACTTCGAAGTCGCAAAACAGTTGCTGCTGAAGAACAACACGTATTTGCCGTTGGAAGTACGCATCAGCGAAGGAGCCTCGATCAGAGGTCCGTCGAGGTCGCTGCGGTCCAGAAGCTTGACAGGGCTGCCAACAGGAGTAACACCATCGTCTGCCACCTTTTGAAGCATGATAGGTGTATCGACGATAGGCGCGACACCATTATTACATGAGCCGCCATGGCCAATGCTGTTGCCATCTACCTTGTATAGAACGTACTGTGTTCCATCCACGTCCAGGAAATTGTCCGAATCTATCGCGCCACCCTGGGAAAGTGGACAAACGAGAGGCGTGGCCTGCGGCGTGTATGGGCCTTGAGGCTTAGTTGCCACGGCAGCACCAACGCAATGCTTGCCTGGGCTTCCTTTGACAGCAGCCGAGTAGGTCATGACATATTTACCAGACTTGTTCTTGCTGACACTCGGTGCCCAAACAGCAGCACCTTGGTTGCCGGCATTAAGGTCGACCCAAGCACCGACCGTCGGCAACGCATCGCTTCCAGTCACCGACCATGTGTTGAAATCCGGAGAGTATGCAACTTGTACGTTGATCAAGCTGCCACCAATTTTGGCGATGGTTTTGTGGTTGTTGCTCGCGAAAGCCCACCAGTCAGAGCCAACTTGCAAGAGATCCGGATCTGCGAAGTCGACGGCAATGACTTGTGTTGGGTTTGTACTGCCTGTTGTTTTCACAGGAGCCGCGATAGCAGCAGGTAGGAGTCCAAGTAGGACCGGTACGACAAGATGTCCGATCATGACGAGGCTGGATACAATCGTACAAGAGGTAGGCTGTGAGGTATTCGTTGTTGAGCGGATGTGATAGACTTGATGGCTGAGATCTCTTGATGGTGGTATGGACGGATTTCGTAAGTGTGAAATGTTCCTACCTTGGGAGAAACAGCGCGCATATTATATTGAGCCGTGCGGCCGGGTAGTGACTCTACAGCTCCACTCAGTAGCTCCACGCCTGAGGCTATTTGAGGAGAGACAGATCTGGGCCAGCCAAAACCTTGATCACGGCATCAAACGTGCTTCTCCGCCATTCTCTAGTGGACAGAGAGCACAACAGAGTGTGTTGGTCGATCTTGTCCGCATACCGCTTGTCCCAATAGGTACAATGGGCCGTCATCAGAGCTGAAGCCACTGGATCTACCGTAACAACGCTTCAACGAAGTCCAACCTTATGGCAGTTGGACGCGAGAATAGGTGCCTGTGGGAAGCACGTCTCTTGGAAATGGCGCAGACACGTGTTTTCGAAGAAGCATCGAGGCTCTGAGAGGAAAGTCAAATGCAACGTCTTGCGGCCCGCGCGAGACGAGGCTCTATTCCTGGCCTCGTATTGGTTGGAGAAGGTGGACTGCGACCTCTATCTGACCACTGAGGATGGTGACTGCAGAGACTTGAATGTCGCGATAACGATCGACATGAGCCATCGCAAAGCCCACAACTGGTGCGCCTGCATGAAATTATTGAATTCCTTCCGACCGTAAAAAAAGAGGTGGACGAATTCTCGCGACGTTGAGGGTGGTGCACGTGACAGCCTGGTGAGACTCTTGACACTTCCTCGGCACGTCGGCCGATTGATTGTGAGTTCCTCACAACAGCTTCCTACACATATCTCGACAATCTCTGCTGCTCGGAATTCTTATGATATGTCAAATTTGTTTGCGAGTATGTGACCCAGAAGTGTCTTGTGGCTGTAGGAGCGCTGTCAAGTCAGCTCGCTTCAAAGGACCCCGAAGGCTCTGTCAGCTTCCATTTCGAGTCTGGACCCACCAGCCAGCCCTCGATCGTTGACCCAAAACGTATCTGCCGAGTCGGCGACTCGGGAGTACCGACCGTCATCATGGCTCTTTTCTGCTCGTTCTTCTCGCTGCCTGCCAGAGATAACCCTAGGGTAATAATACAAGCAGTGACTGCATTCTGCCCAAGTATAGCGATGAGCTCGTGAACAGACAGCCGAACATGGAAACGTAACGTTAGGCCTGATCTCCGCCATTCGCCCCCGCATTAATATCGCAAACACTGGATCCCCGTAAATCATGGACCGGCCAACTCCACCCATAGTCTTCTACAATCCTGGAGGTATTCGCAAGAAGCCTGCGAGCCAACCTCAGCGCATAGCTATCAGATGGATCCAAGAGTTTCCAAATCAGGGTCCGGCTGCAACTCGTGCAGGTGCAAACACGCGGACTGCGGATGAGGAGTCCGACGAAACTCGAGCGTCCAGGATATATCGAAGGACGGAGACCGGCGAGAGACAACTTAGAGCTCCTCTCTTGAATGCTTACCTTCTCGCGGACGCGCCGCTTCGATTGACTATCGGATCACAACGCGATCCATTCTCTACCTTACCGGTTCCTTGGAAGCCTCCGTACGGTATCATTACGAGTTATTGTAAAAACTACGACACCTGTTCACATATCATTCTCAAGTTGCTGACCGATCGCTAGTCAAATATGCTATAGCTCCTGCTATCGTGGCCGAAAGCTTCGAGCCCGAGGGTAAGACGCGGCAGGAAGCACTCGAGGACATCGAGTGGCCAATGGCTCTGTCCGTCCAAACGAACGACCCCGCCTTATTCTTTTCTGCTCTCGCCATGTCTTGTGTTCACCTGCCTGAAACGCATGAGTTCAGTCCACAGAAAAATCCTTTCTTCTTCCGCTGGCTCTCGTCCAAGTGTGTGGAATATCTTAACAAGTCATTGCAGAATCCCTCACGCGCTTGCAGCGATGGAACTTTGGTTGCAGTGACATTCATCTCTTTCTGCGAGAGTATGGCTGGCAACCACCGTATAGCCGCCACAGTCCATCAACCAGGATTGCGACATATGGTTAACACACGTGGCGGTTTGGAGTCAATCGCTAAAGAATCCGCTGTCGGCGAGAGAGTCACCAAGGCGATTTCTGCTCTCGATATTGTCGTGGCTTCCAAGTTTGGTTGCGTTCCAATATTCGAAGACTCATACGCTCTCACTTTACAAGACGTGGAAATGACCGACATTGTATCGAGGATCAAGAAGACGGCTGAAGGTCGCCTTGACCCTGCTTCTCCAATGCCACGTACAGTCATTCTGTCACAACGGTTGCACGATCACGATATCTTCCAGTCGCCTAGCCCCAAGCAGAGCCCTGCGCGTGTAGCGACTGAATCTCCAGCCTCACATATCTCCGTTGAAGCAGACGATATCAACGAGCCGTTCTGATCCAAGCTTACGAGTCTGGGAGTCGTCAGGCTCAATCAGCCTAGACCGGTTGTCAGTACACCAGTGCGTAACAGTTGCGGACGCCTGTCGGCTATCGAGTTCTTGCAAACGCCCACGAAGCCGGAGCAGCCCGGAAAAGACATGTAAACTACAAGACCAAAGCTCTTGGCTTTGAAGTAAAATTTATTGGATTCACATTGGATGTTGCGAAGAAGAGTCCGATGCATGCCATGCATCCCTGTCTGATACCGATAGGCCATGCTTATCGGCGGGGTATTATCTAGGACGACAAGAAGCCCACTACGAAACCAAGCCCGCCAAGCAAGAGGTATCCAATCGATATACACGACAATATCGCCAGCCACTCAGCTTGTAGTGCATCCATGTTTATCAGACAAGCCGCGCAAAATATGCCTTAGATAACATGTCGAAGTCTTGGTATATGCACGACTTGCTTCGCCTATCTCCTTTCGATAAGAGCTCTGGAACCGGGGCCAGACAAGATATCAGCATCTATTCGTGCTACAGTCGCAGCTGCCGGCCAGTCGAGAAGCGATATCAGGCCTATCGGACTGGTGCACCTTGTTCAATCTGCCCTATGGTGACACTGGCTTGGGCTGTCATATATAAACCTCGAGATTGCACCAGACCTCGGGCAGCAGTTTGCAGACAGCAGATCAACGACTATTTCACCATCGTGTCGATAGAACAAGTGCAATCCGAGGACAAGAAGGTGTCAAACATCGAGATGGCAACGCTCGAAAAGCACAATTCCGTTGAGGCCGGCGAGATTTCAGACATCAGCGAGGAAGATATCGGTACGCATACCCAATGCACGGAACCTGTCCAGCTATCTGACAAAATCAGTTGCTGCTGAGGGCAAATATACCGAAGAGCAATACAAGCAACTTCGAAGAAAGATCGACCGATACCTGCTGCCGCTCATGTGGCTATGCTATGGTATACAGCAGACCGACAAGACTGCTCTAGGCACACAAGCAACGTTCGGGCTCAGAGAAGATACCGGACTTGTCGGACAACAATACTCCTGGTTGACTACTGTCTTTTGTACGGTCTTTGTGTCTTGTATGAGAGTGCTCGTCTGACCGTCTGACAGATTTGGTCTACATGATCTTCGAGTTTCCATCCAATATTGTTCTGCAACGTCACAAGATGGGCAAAAAATTTTCTTGTTAAATGATCTGCTGGGGTGTTGTAGTCCTCTGCATTGGATTCGGTAATTTACAGCACAAACACTCTGTTGTTGCACCTTGCTGACGCCCTCGAGCTCAAAACTTCACACACCTCGTCGTCCTACGCGCACTGCAGGGTCTCTTTGAATGCTGCATCTCACCAGGCTTCATCTTGGTTGTCGGCAGTTGGTACAAGGCCAGAGACCATGCTTCAAGGTCTCTCGTCTTTCAATCTGCGAACGCTGGCTTCGGCATCATCTCGAGCTTAGCTTTGTACGGCATCGGTAAGCGTGGTTCCCAGGATCCTGACTCCGAGCCTTGGAGATGGATGAGCTACTTCCTCGGCGCAATGACCATCCTTGTTGGTTGTATCTGCTTGTTCCTCCTCGGGACTCCTTTAAGGTCAAGTGGCTCACACCCAAGGAAAACCGCATGGCCAATGCACGTATCGTCAGCAATAATACTGGACACGACCGCACTGGCGTGAAGAAGTGGCAGTGGTATCAAGTCAGAGAATGCTTGATTGACCCATGTTTCTGGTTCGCAGGCATAAATTCTTTCCTCTCGTCACTACCGAACGGTGGGTTGACGACCTTCGCGCACATCATCAACACATCCTTCGGCTTCACCAATCTCCAGGTAATCCTTCTCGACATCCCACGCAGCGCCTTTTCGATATTGTACTTCGTCGCAATCGGCTTTATCACCAGCAAACGCTCCGGCCTGCGCCTGTACTTCATGATCGTCTCCACTATTCCACCTTTCGTTGGCTTCCTCGGCATGGCGTTCATCCCCAACAACCCATCCATGGAGTGGACGAAATGGGGTATGTACTTCATGACCGTACCCTACGCCATCTCCCTCTTCCTCGCATGGTCTCTGGTCCCCTCAAACACCGCTGGTCGCACTAAACGTACTTTCACCTCTTCGTTTACCTTTGTGGGATATTGTGTTGGCAATATGGCCGGATCGCAAATCTTCAAGGCTAAGGATGCACCTTACTATGTTCCTGATGTTGTTGGCTGTGCTATTTGCTTTGGCCTTGAATTTGCGGTGTTGGTTGCATGGAGGATCATTCTGGTGCTGAGGAACAGAGGGTTGGATAAGATTATTGCTAATGATGGGTTGATGGAGGAGGAAAGAGCTTTGAGAGCGAAGAAGATGGGAGAGGAGGATAAGACCGATTTCAAGAACCCTTACTTCCGTTATACGTTGTAGATTGGATTGAACGAGCAGCTGGATCCGAGACTAGCAAGGCGAATACTCGATGCGCAAATGAACACCCCGGTTCCATACGTGGTGTGCTTAAAATCTTCGAGCACCAACTATGTTCAACCAATTGACATGAGCGCGGCTCTAAATGACACGATGATTCTAGGTCCTTGGTCTGAGTGCCCTGACGAGAACATAGAAAGCAGTGCATCTGATCAACAATGCGGTGGCCCAAATCAGATTCGGAAACTCGTCGTGGTAGGCGCGGAGTTGGCATTTGTGCCGCTCTTCTTCGATGGCTTCACGGGCTCCGTCGGTCGTGGCAATCGAGTCTGGTTCTCGCATCTGTCGACCGACAAAGACTATAGAAGCTGAATGAATGACGCATACCTTGATCGCTCATTGATGAATCCACTGTAATTTTGATGTTGTCATGAGAGACATTGAACTGGAGAGATGGGAGGTCTTGATGTAACGGTGGTCATGGCAACAACAGACCCAGGAGTTTGGTCATGGACATTGATATGATACACAAGCAAATGTCTTGACTTTTCGAAACCACTTCATGACCAGATCACTAACTTGGCACCCCCCTCGAGAATTTCTTGTGCTCCAGAATGGATGTCGCCAAGACCCCGATGCCCCTGGCGGCGATATAAAAAGCGATGCATCTGATTAGAAATGCGAAGGCCCCAATCAGATTTTGGATCTGCCAATGATAATGGCGAAGGCGCTTTTCGTGTTGCTTCTCCCCGAGATGATCTTGGTTTGCTTTGCGTTCTTCTTCGGTCATGATCATTGATCTGTAATGTCATTCGATGAAGGTGAGGCGAGGTTGTTAATCCTTACTGGCGTCGCTTGACTTCGTTTACAGCAGCAGGAAGATGTTGTGAGTGGTGACAGGTAGAAGTTTTGAGCTGGTAAGAATTCGAGATACGTAACGGAGAGCCAAGACACTAAAAATAGACCAGCTTAGATACCGCTTCAAGACCTCGAAAGTCCACTGTACCTTTGCAATACTTGGGTGAGATGTCAAAAAGAGTACGTACATGGACATTACAATCTGGCTTGAGGCCCTCCGATGCCCACGTCTTCGAGATCTTTGACCTCATCTCCGGGCCTTCCACTATCAAGATGCTCACGGTTTCCATACTTCCACTCTGGCTTGAAGTCGCCCTCCAACGCATTCGCGATATACTTGCCAATAATCGGCAACATCTTGAATGCATGTCCACTATCTCCCGTCGCCAGTAACAGCTCCCCACCAGGATACTTGGGATGCGTATCGATCAGATAATGCGCATCCGGCGAATCTGTACACCAACACACTTTCGCACCCTTTATTTCTCTGCCCTCGAATTGCGGGATCACGGTACTGATGAAATGCTTGATAGCGTTCATTGCTTCCTCTGGGATGCCGTCTTGAGGATACTCGGAGAAGTAGCGAGGAATGCTGTATTTACTTGTCTTGCCAGTAGCGGGATCGGTGTATTCTCCTCTCTGCCATTGGTATCCAGGAAACTCGTTGCAGATTTTGATCAAGCGGCCTTCAGTACTGGGTTCGAAGAAGAAACCTAATTCGTGGTTGAGAACTACTGGCATGTTTTTGAATTGAGCGGCTTCCTCTTCGGTGAGTTCGAGTAAGCCGTAAGTCCAGCATTTACTCCAGAGCTGAGTGGAAAGTTCGGGAAGGAGAGCGGGAGAGGCTGCGCCAGTGGAGAGAATGTAGCGGTCTGCGGTGTAGATGTCACCAGATTTGACTTTGATGCCTGTGACTTTGGAGCCGCTGGTCTCGAGGGATACCATCTCGCCTGCTGCGCCGGAAATGAACTTTACGCCCATCTTGCCTGCCTCGTCGGCGATTTTGGTGATTGCGTTCGCTGCGTGTGCCCAACCAGCTTGCTTGTTCCATAGACCTTTCCAGTTGTCGATATCGCGAGCATTCTTCAGCTGTGGCACATATTTTGCAATCTCGTCTTTGCCTTTGACAAAGTCGATATTGTGGGCTTGACCTTTTGCTTTCAGATTCTCGTATGATTTCTGAAGGTGAGCGGTAGCCTTTGGGTCACCAAGAGTAGTCAATATCCATCCGGTTTCGTGGAAAATGTCCTTGTAGAGAGGATCTCGCCATGCTTGGATGGCTTCGAGGGCCATTTCTGCATAGAGCGGTTCATCGTATTCTGTTCTGATGATTTTGTTCTGTGAGAGGGAGTGGGATCAGTAGAGGTCGACAGAGAGCAAGTTTATGGCACACACGATATCGTATCCTGCAGAGTCGAGACTTGGGTATGGCCACTTGTCGATACATGTGATATTTGTGTAGCCTCGTTTTGCTAGGTGGTAAGCTGTAGAGGCTCCGAAGGTGCCAGTACCGATGATCAAGATCTTTTGGTCTTTTTGTTTTGGCATTGTGAGAGTTTCGGTCGGATTTGAGATGGAGTCAGAGATTCATGGCGTTCGTCGGAGCGTCCTGCCTATATACAGACCTCATCGCCGCTCGTTCGCCCGGGGTGGATCTGCGTTGCGCTTGTACCTTCCTCCTCCACGGAAGGAACGGCTGACACTGGCAACATGAGCCTACTGATATCACCCGAGGCAATTATCGCTTTGTTCAAACTGCTCATTCGTCTTGGCCTACGTTCCCATTACCCATACGAATAATCCTGTCGCTGCTTAGATCCGCTGGAAAGTCGAAGAGAGAGCAGCTCAGGCGAGTAGCGACCTCGGCCCGGCGGAGAGCCCCGCTGTCGGCACTTGGACAACCTCCCCGTAGTGAGACAAGAGAGCTCTCCTTGGTCAACAACTACATTCGAGTTTGCCTCGAGGGTGCAAGCTCGCAATATGATGCTAACATATCCGAATGTATCATTTCGCTCAAGTACCACGTCCCGCTACAACATGGCGAACTTGTCGTCCTCGAAGATGAACAGTCCACACCTTGTCGCGTCACAACAACACGAGAAGGTGTAGTCCGAATATGACTGCTACAACACACGAAAACTACCATTCGAGCATCATCGCGTTGCGATATGTCCATCATACCACTACCATTTCTTGAGCGGCCAATTTAGATCGGTCATGCGTGACGAATCTGACGCGATAAGGCAGGCCGCCTTAAAGTCCTGTGGTTTCCCCGAACTTGATCACACGGCATGCCTGCAAGTCATCGCATTTTTGCCCGGATTTTCTGCGTTGGTTCCTTTCACAACACTGAGTCGTAAGCCGCAACATTCGACTTTTTGAAACGTCAACACTCATGCACAGATTGCCTCTGAAACTCCTCTGTACCAATCGCAGCTCTTCCATGGAAACCTTCTGGAATGTCTTGCAGAGGACAGAGGCGCCGAACCTTCAGCACCTGGCTCTATTGTCTCGAGTGGCAGCCCGTTTCTTGGGTGTCAATCAGCAAAGGGTCGAGCACCGGACACACTGACGACATCGTTCAGCCTGGAGATACCTCCATCTTGGTACGCTACTTCGAAGTCAGGTACATGGTGCTTCAGGACAAGGATCACCAGACTTGAAGCTTGGCGGGAGACCCCAAATACGTCCAGCATTAATGGTGAGTGTATCCACAGATCAGAGGTAAGGCTTCTAGTTTCGACGTGTCACCACCTTCTACCCTTCGTGTTTTTTTATGATCCATACCAGCAGATCATGGCTTCCGACACATTAGAAGGGCAATGCCTGATACTCTTTGCAGTGACCATGTTCTTTTGCATCGTTTGCTTTGTGATGGTCACACTACGATGCTGTACAAGGATATGCATCAAAGGTTTCGGTTCAGATGACTGGCTTATGCTCATTGGCACAGTATTACTCTCTGGTTATCACGATGCACCGATTTTTTGCTAAAAACATCATCAGGTCTTCGGCATCATGACATTCATCACAGTTCTGTGTGGATGTAAAGTCGGCTTGGGCCAACACGACTATGATCTCGGTGAAGGTGACTACTCGAAGATCAAGCGCGTACGATACCTGAATTTGATATTTCAACACTGGCTGATTCTTTACTAGGCTCTCATGACATTTCAGATACTCTACTGTGCCAGTCTCATCTTCATCAAGAGCAGCATTTGCGTGGCTCTCATACGACTCGTCATATCCAGGCGGCTGCTATACACGCTCTATGCAATCTTGGCTCTCAGTGCCAGCTACGGATTTATCGCAATGATGACAGTTTTGTTACAGTGCAGACCACTCAAAGCCACGTGGGACCCGGCCGCCGGCACATGCTCTAACGGAAAGATTATCATGAACATTTCGTGGTTCGTCACGGCATGCTCGATTACAACCGACTCTGCTTGCGCCATAATGCCTTTCGTCATTCTGTGGAATCTTCAGATGAGGAAGAGGCTGAAGTTCACAATCGCCGCCATGTTGAGCCTAGGCTTCTTGTAAGTTGTCCTCCCTGGGCGAATGTTCAGAACTGACAGCAATGCAGAGCGAGTGCAGCAACCATTGTCCGGATCAAGTACATAGACTCGTACTCTGCGAGTCATGATCTTGCATGTTAGTCGCCAAATTAAACACCAGACGAATTGTAGCTGACAGTTCTTGTAGTCAAAGTCTCCAACGTCGTCCTGTGGTCGGTCATCGAGACCGGTATCGCCATCATTGTCGGCACCATTCCCTCCCTCAAGCCCTTGGTCAAATCCATATCTTTCTTCGGCTCGCATCACTCTCACTCGCCGAGAAAAGGTTCCAGACCCCTAAGCGACTTTCAGTCTTATGCGCTCCGATCAACTACGCCTTACAACCACAAGACGCATATCTCCTGCCCAAAGAACAAAGATCTAGATCTAGAAGACGGCGATAGTATGAGAGACTCCTTGATGAACGGTCCGGATATCATACACGTGCGTTCAGAAGTTCAAGTCGAAGAAGGGTCCAGGCCGAACACTGGATATAAGAGTTTCAAGAGTTTCACCTTTTGAGCAATGTAAGGTTCTCTCTTTCTGCCTGGCCGGATGTTATAGGATAAGGCTATCGCAAAGCATGGAACGATTCGGCTATGAAGATCGACCATGGAGAGTCAACGATTGAGCGCCCTTACTGGACAAGACTCGATCGCGTTGACAGTGGAGGAACTTTCCCCTATGATTCAATCACTCCAGGCGCCAGGCGTTACAACCACACGCAGATCAGTTCTTCTTTGCAGAGCTCCGTCTTTCGGCGAGACTGTTGCTCGCGCAACGACAACCAGAGACCACACGAGTGCGACAGTACTCGAGCACCGCACGCGTCCTGAATGATCCGACCTCTCGAGAGTGTTCTATGTTTCCACCATCGAGACGCACAAAGGCAGACGTATAGGACAGAGATCTTTCATGGTCTGACTAGAGATACGCCACACAAGTAGATTCCGGGTATCTCATCGCAGATCTTATCCTCTGCCATACCCTTGACGTTTTAGATATTGCACGTCTGCACAAAGGAGTTTCAACAATCTACCATGAGATTGGGCATAGTTTGTCTTTACCAACGTCAATCAGCAGGCCAATGCTCGGATGGTGAACTTCTGAGAATGTGTCTATACTAATTGCGTTGCGGGTACTGTTGGGCAAATTGTTTGCGCAAATTCACCAAGGAGATCAACAACAAAGTGTAATCCAAAGAGATAGAGTTGCCCGACATCCATAATTCCCATCTCCCGCGTTAGTCATCTCCTCTTATACAGCACTAAAGTTCTTGCGTTTACGCATCGTGTCTATGTATTCTCAAGCCTGCTGCCACGAGCGCTTTATCGGCCATCAATACTCTCTTGTACCTGATCTACGTCTTTTGTATGTGCGTCGCGCACTCGTCGTCTATCGGCTCCGAGCGGCTGCACCGTCGAAGTGCTGCCAATGAGGAGTGCTAAGTAGCCGAAACTGTCAGCTCCGACGCTCGCCGTGGCGGTTGCGGTGGTGGCTGTGGTGTTGAGAAGACAGGGAAGACGGATTGGGGTTTTGAGAGCTATTGCAGACATGTGATCCTGTGCTTTGGGAGCACGTGCAATGCAGAGGATCAGAGGGTTCTACTGCAGAAGTGGAATGGTCTTTCGATATGGAACATGAATTTGAACTCTGTAGGCACCACTGAAATGATCGAAAGGCACATCCGCCTCATTTGACAATGAAGGGCATGCTTGAGGTAGTACACCATAAATCAAAGAATTTGATAGACTGTGCGACAAAACTTGCTGAAAATGCTGACTAGACTAGAATAAGCAGCTAACGAGCGTGGTAATCGATAGGGAAGGAGCGTGACAAAATCAGCAAACACAAGACTAGCCAATACCGAACAAAAAAGAGTCATAAGGCAGCCCAGGAAAGACCGCGTCAACGCTCGCACAACAAGAGCATGCTCAAGCAGCATTAGGATCAATCCAAATACTGCCATACCCACCAATTTTGCCATGCCCACCTTGAGTATGGGTACCATCACTGCGGCCTCTGGGACTCAAACTCGCAATCTGCATCATCCAATCATTACACTCGCCCTCATTGATAGTCCAACCAGAGCGAACGTCATCGTTTGTATAGTGAGCTGTTTTCCTCCGTCAACATCTAAACCCTCGGCGGTCTTTTGCGAAGAGTGCAGAGCACTTACCGGCGAGGATACCAGGACCTCCACTGTGCAGGGTCAATCCGGAGATTTGGGCGTTCGTGGATTTTCCCCAGGGGACTACTTGGCCGTTTTGATCTGTAGTGATGCAGTGATTAGTATGTTTTTTTGTGATCAGATTGTAGGAGGGGATGACATACTTGCACACCATTGATTGACGCCTCTCTCGATCTCATCGAGGTTCATCCATTCGCCGCTGTAGAAGGGAGTGACTTCAATCAGATCGGCTCGTTTCTCGATAAGGGTGCTGTCGGTAATGGTAACGGGTGCAGCGGTGCACAGCGAAACGGTAGCAATGATGAGAGGGAGAGAGAGATGCATGATTCTCATAAGCTGTAGTTTTCTGGGGTCTTGAGTGTTGTAGTTGTTGTGCTGGTATTGCTTGGATAGAATGGCATGATCAATGTTCTTCCTAGCTCAGTGGGATGACCAGGTCTTTATATCTGTCTTCGCCGGTATCTTTGTTTCAAATCAAGCGTACTCCACTTGAGAACATTTTCATAGCTGTCCACGTAATACAGGAGTTAGTATGAGCCACCACCAACAGTGACTGGATAGGCTGTATTCCACCAACCTAGTTATGCAGGTGATCATCAGGACTACATCTCATGTACCATTGGCCAACGACATTCGGTGTAAAGTGACCAAAATAATTCTATGGCAGTGCAAAAGAATCTCAATCCCAAAAACAGAACAAGAGCTGCATGCAGCATGAGACTCGAGGCATATGCATGCACGGCGGTATTCTTGGCAAGCCTCGTTTCACACCACCGAATTTCGAGGCCCGGATTTTGTCGTACATCCTAGACAGATTCATGGCAAATCGCTCGCATGAAAGAGCGATTGCAGAGTGTTGGTTTGACTAGCCTGGTCGTGTGTTGTTCGAGTTTCGCCATGGACGGAAGCAATGCATGTTGGCGATATCTCCTTTGAAGCCACATTTGCAAGATAGCGAAGGGCATGGGAATCAGAGTTCAGATGTTCCACGATACTTCAGATGTCCACTCTCCTCTTCCACCATTTCAGGCCATATCGATTCCAAGCCCACAAAAGGTAAATAGGGTCCAGCCGGTGCCTGGAGTTGAACCCACGTTCACCAAAAGCCGAAAATCTTGGCAACAAAGAGTTCATCTTTCTCGGTCTCACTTCGCTGCCTACAACCTCGACAAAAAGACTCACAGGGAAGAAACAAAAGATGATTCCGACACGGGGAATTGAACCCCGGCCTCCTCGGACCTGGTAGTGTCGTAGTCAACACGGTATGAGAGCGAGAAATCCTAGCCACTAGACCATATCGGATGTTGCTGATCAAATCGAGCTTTTCCGTACAAATCCCGCGTGTGTGTACATCATCAACTGCTGTAAGTTGAAGTGGTAAGTTCGAAGGGATGTAATGAAAATGATGTTAGGACCGATAGGGTAGAAAGTAGTACGAAGTTTTCGAGAAGAAATATGCAAACTGATACCCATAGGGAATTGTCCATGACTAAGCTGAATCCCTATCTGACATGTCTAATAGCATTGGAATCGAGATCCTGTTAGTAAGACTCGTTTTGAGCATAATCCTTCATGCTTTCGGATGTAATCGCCTGGAGATTGAACTCAGATGTCTTTGACGCTTCAAGACTGGTATTAGCTAGAATCGATAGGACTAAACCAGGTGCGCGAGGACAACATATTTACCTCCGTCTTCCATACTGGTAATTTCATGTTCGTCAGGTCGAAAATTGTGGTCTCGGGTTAGTATCGCCCTCGGCATCGTCTAGTCTTTCGCCTTGCGTCCGTAGTGAGAAAACACTCAGGTATTCCATCAAGAATATCGATGGACAGAGAGGATGGGGAAAAGGAAGGAGATGATAGGGCAAGCCGAGTCTCGGCACTGGGTCCGTGCGGGCGTCGGTCCGCGAAAATCTTGGCAGGCTTCGAAGTTTTGACCAAATTTTCAACCACCTTCAAAAATCGTTTTTCTGGCATCAGAACAAAAAGACAAAAAGATTGACAGCGATGGTTTAGGAATAGCCGAAGGCGGGGCTCGAACCCGCGACCTTGAGGTTGTGATATATCGTAGATGATAAGAGCCACACGCTCTACCGATTGAGCTACCCCGGCAGGTCTGATGATCAAGTTGTGTGACACAACTGGCTGCTGACATGTAGATGAGACGGCCCGGACAGTATATCAACAGACACTTGTTCGTACACATCTCGACCATCACGTACGCCTAGGCAGCCCGACCGGTAGAGGCCGCGGTGAAAGCATGGTCCAGTACCTCCACCGCGAAGTTGCCGAAAAACCTAGTATAACTTGCAGACAGCTCGGACCGACGAATGTACGTGCTTGTCGTCGTAGCTGTCGAATTGGAATCAATCAAATCCATGGCCAAAGGTCAAGGACAGCTGCCGAGTCGAAATGCAGCCGGGTGGTCAATCCAGAGATCGATTACGGAGGTGATATGCCGACTCAAGATTATTGCATGTGCGTATCTGGATACTCAAACAGCTCGAGTTGAGATGATGCATTGAAACTAGCATGCCCAGAGATTCGAGAGACTTGGCTGTGTAGTTGGGATTGCAGCCACGATACAGGTTTGTCGTCCAGGAGAGCAGACGGTGTTATCAAAGACAGATGTTGCTCATAGGCAACGGACCACTTGCCAGGAGTAGTGGTTGGCAGGATCTCAGGAGTCCAGACCTGTCTGTCCACATTGTCCATGCTGTTTCCGCGAGTACCGGAACAGTGGCAGGTTGGAGGAAACTCATGGCATATAACTGGATGAACAAAGGAGCACAAGAATAACAACAGGATAACAGAAGAATTGGATGTGTGGTTGCAAGATGAACACGTAGACGCAAGGGTGATAGGCTCGGAGAAGAGCGGCGGAGACGGGAGCATCAGCCACGGGAGGTGCCAAGACGGGGGTTCGAGGCGTCGTCATGCGGCTTAACACGCCAACAGCTATGCCTAGGTATCCAGCTTGCACTTTCCTCAGAAGACAGCAAGCACCATGAGGACGAGGCTAGCGACAGTGACAAGGCTAATATGCCTGGCCCTGTCATTAACAGCCGTTACGGCCAAAAAGGACGCGCCTGCCGTCGAAGAAACAGGCTTCAAGTCGCTGCCTGCCAACATCTTCTACTTCGACGATAGCGACACCGTCCTGGTCACCGACATCAAGCCTGGCATTGTATACCGCTCCACCGATGCTGGTGTCAAATGGAAAGCCATCAAGGACATCACCGAGGGTCAGATTGATCAAGTCTTCCCTCACCCATACGACTCAAAGGCAGCCATCGCCATCGGTCAAGAGAAGACGCACTGGATCACAAAGGATAGGGGTGACTCTTGGACCGAGTTCAAGACAAAGTACGAAGTCGCCAACGGACGCGCCTTGAGTTTCCACGCAGACGACCCGGACCGCATCATCATCAGCACTCTCGATTGCCATGGCTCCATCTGGGGTGACTGCACGCCCAAGGTAACGCGCTTCCACTGCACCATGAGATGGCCATTCTAACATGCTACAGGCTTACTACACCCTCAACGGCTTCAAGGACATTGATCTGCTCCAAGACAAGGCTGTTTCATGTCTCTGGGCCAAGTCCACCGACCTCTTCACCACCGGCGACGACAAGCTTGACAAGAACCAGGTTCTCTGTGCTGTTGAAGGCAAATATTCGACGTGGCAAAAGGACAACCGCCTCTTGATGTCCAACGATTTCTTCGAAAAGAACGAGGTTGAACCCACCATCTCTGGAGGTCGCACTGTTCCCGGCGTCGTCAACGTCGCTGCTGTCAAGGGATACATCGCTGTTGCTGCAAAGTCCGAGGGTACAAGCGAGCTCGCCATGTATGTCACCGACGATACCAAGACATGGCATCGCGCAGAGTTCGGCAACCACAAACTCGAGGAAAACGCATACACTCTCTTGGAGTCTACAAACTACAGCATTCAGGTCGATCTTATGACTTCCAGCATGTCCTCTCCGATGGGCGCCCTCTTCACCAGCAACTCGAACGGCACATACTTCACAAAGAACATCGAGCACACCAACCGCAATATGCAAGGATACGTCGATTTCGAGAAGATCCAAAACATCCAGGGCATTGTCCTTGTCAACGTTGTCGACAACTGGGAAGAGGTGGAGAAGGATTTCATGGCCGACAAGAAGACCAAGTCACAGATCAGTTTCGACGATGGAAGAGTCTGGCATGGCATGAAGGTCGACAAGGATGATCTGCATCTCCACTCCGTCACCGACCAGCGCAATATCGGACGCGTTTTCACCAGTCCTGCTCCTGGAATTGTTATGGGTGTTGGAAACACTGGCAAATATCTCAAGACATATGAAGAAGGCGACACTTTTGTCTCAGACGATGCTGGCCTTACATGGCGACTCGCCTTGGAAGGTCCTCACCTTTACGAAATGGGCGATCAAGGTGCGATCCTTGTTGCAGTCGAAGACACCGAAACGAGAAAGATTCGATGGAGCATTGACCACGGAAAGAAGTGGGAGTCGTTCGAACTGAAGGACAAGATCAGACCCGTCGTCCTCCTGACTGTCCCCGATTCTACAAGTCTCAAGTTCATCCTTGTAGCCTCAAAGGGCAGTGGTTCCAAATTGGAGCACTTCACATACTCTCTTGATTTCAGCGAGCTTCATGAGGACAAGTGCAAGGACTCTGACTTCGAGAAGTGGGCTGCACGTGTCGACGAAGATGGCAAGGCAAGCTGCATCATGGGCCACAAACAGTTTTTCCGCAGACGCAAGGCTGACGCTGACTGTTTCGTTGACATTGAGTTCAAGGATCCCCAGCCTGAGTTCGAGGATTGCAAGTGCACTGATGCAGATTACGAATGCGACTACAACTTCCAGCGGTCTGAGGACGGCAAGGAGTGTGTACCCGCTGGACCTCTGAAGGCTCCTGAAGGCGCGTGCAAGAATGGTGATGAAGAGTACGAAGGCAGTTCTGGTTATCGCTTGATTCCTGGCAACACTTGCGACAAGAAGGACGGTGCCGTAAAAGACAAGCCTGTCAAGCGACCTTGCAAGGACACTACCAAGCAACCAGCATCTGGTAAGATATCTCACGAGCTCAACAAGTTCAAGGGTGCCAAGTTTGCCGAATATTATTACCTCGAGAGGGCCGCTTCTGCTTCTGGAGATGACGAGACGATCATCATGCGTACTGACAGACGCGAGGTGTACATCTCTCATGACGGTGGCAAGAAATGGGATCAAGCGCTTCCTGATGAAGAAATTGTCTCTGTTTACCCCCATCAGTACAACCAGGATACCGTCTACCTGATCACTCCTTCCAAGAAAGTGTACTACTCGGAAAATCGTGGCAAGAGCATTCATCATTTCAAAGCTCCAGAGGAACCCAATCAAGATCATGTACAAATCCTGAGCTTCCACCCAACTCAAAAGGACTGGCTCATCTGGACTGGAGGTCAAGATTGCAAGGGCTTTGGCACCGATTGTCACTCTGTCGCTCATGTCTCCAAGAAGAACGGTGAGGACTGGTCTACTCTTCTGCGCTTCGTTCGCAAATGCCAGTTTGTCGCTAGAGAAGATCGCAACGGTAGCGACAGCATGGTCTTCTGCGAGCAGCACCAGGACGAAGACCCTGACAAGCCTCTGCAGCTGATTTCCAGTGACGACTTCTACGAGCACAAGAAGGTCCATTTCGACGATGTCATCAGCTTCGCTACCATGTCCGAATTTATGGTTGTCGCCCTCAGAGACAAAGAGGGCAAAGATCTGCGCGTGGACACCAGTATTGACGGCAGAACTTTTGCCAATGCTCAATTCCCCAAGAACTTCAAGGTCCCTCATCAGCAGGCTTACACTGTTCTTGATAGCTCAACTCATGCCATCTTCTTGCACGTCACCGTCAACAACAGAGAAGGTCAGGAGTACGGCTCGATCGTCAAGTCCAACAGCAATGGTACCTCGTATGTCATGAGCATCGGAGCAGTCAACCGCAATACTCCTGGATATGTCGACTTCGAGAAGATGCAAGGACTCGAGGGTGTCGCAGTTGTCAACGTTGTTTCGAACGTTGGAGAAGTTGATGGCGGTGCTTCGAAGAAGCTGAAGACCATGATCACTCACAACGATGGCGCAGAGTGGGGTCTTATCACTCCTCCTGAGAAGGACTCTGACAACAAGCCTATCGATTGCAGTGGAGATATGGAGAAATGTTCTCTCCATCTGCACGGCTACACTGAGCGCAAAGATCCTCGCGACACCTATTCTTCACCATCAGCTGTTGGTTTGATGATGGCTGTAGGTAACGTCGGACCCAACCTCGGTCCCTACAAAGAAGGCAACACATTCATCACTCGTGATGGCGGTGTTCAGTGGCACGAAGTTTTTAAGGGAACCTTCATGTGGGAGTATGGCGATCAAGGATCAATCATTGTCATTGTCCAAGAAGGAACGCCCGTTGATACTGTCTTCTACACTACTAACGAAGGCAAGAAATGGACTGCCTACCAGTTCAGCGAGACCAAGGTTCTCGTTGATGACATCTCCACTGTTCCCTCCGACATGTCTCGCAACTTTATCCTCTGGGGCAAAGACGGGGGTTCCTCTGGAGGTCTTGTTGCTATCAACCTCGACTTCTCCGGTCTCACAGATCGTCAATGCAAGCTCGACGAAGACAAGCCAGATGCAGAAGACAGTGACTACTACCTTTGGGAGCCCAAACATCCTCTCTCGGATAACAACTGCCTCTTTGGTCACGTTGCTCAATACCATCGCAAGATCCCTGATAACGAGTGCTACAATGGCCCTGCTATTCAGCATCTCCACGATATTTCCCAGAACTGCTCCTGCACTCGTCAAGACTTCGAGTGTGATTACAACTTTGAACGTCAGAATGACGGATCTTGTGCGCTTGTTCCTGGCTTCCAACCCATGAGCGGACTCGAGTACTGTGCTGCCAACCCTGATCTGGACGAGTACTACGCACCAAGCGGATACCGTCGCATCCCTCTTACCACCTGTGTCGGCGGCAGAGAACTGGACAAGACCTCCGAACCCTACCCCTGCCCCAACCACGAAAAGCAATTCGAGAAGAAACACGGCATCAGCGGAGCAGGCCTCTTCTTCGCCATTGTGATTCCTATCCTCGCAGCCGCAGGAGTAGGATACTGGGTGTACCGCAACTACGACGGGCAGTTCGGACGTATCCAACTCGGCGACACCGGCATGATGGGCAATGGCAATGGCGCCTTTGACTCTGAACAACCTTGGATCAAGTATCCTGTTGCTGCTGTGTCTGCGCTTGTGGCTGTTCTTGCTGCTGTGCCTATGGTTGTGGGCGGACTTTTCCGTATGGCTAGTAGCAGATTCGGAGGCGGTAGCAGTGGAGGAGCGTACTCGAGACCATATACCAGTCGTAGTAGCTTTTCGAGGGGGAGGGGCGATTACTCGCATGTTGATGCTGATGAGGGCGAGTTGCTGGGCGACGAGAGTGATGAGGAAGTGTAAGGGCGGCGCAGCGTTTGAAGGAGGAATGTTTGTTTTTGAACATGTAGAGTTTGAAAAAACAATGTAGAATAGGATTGTGTTGTTTTTTTTTGCGTAACCTCATTCTTCTTCTTCTTCTTCTTCTTCTTCTTCTTCTTCTTCTTCTTCTTCTTCTTCTTCTTCTTCTTCTTCTTCTTCTTCTTCTTCTTCTTCTTC